TCACACAACCGCCACTTTAACCTGGAGGCGAATCTTCTGGAAGAGATAGTGATGATGGAAGAAAGCAGACCGCGGTCTTAGGAACTGTTAAAAAAATTTATTAAAATGTCCAGCAGTACAGAAACCGCAAGGGGCCTTGTTTTCTCTCCCCCACTTCCCCCCTTTTTTTGGGGGGGAAAACCACCCAAGGGGCAGGAGGGAGGGGTTACACACAGAGGAGGACTGGACACTGCAGTTATGTTGAAACAGCAGAGGTTGGAAAGGTGCTGACTGCACACAACCACACTCACACTTTTTGTGTATCCACACATCCACACATGTACATACACCCCACAAGTCAAACCCAGCTTCAGATGTGACACATTTCGCTTGTGCAGGGAAAACAGTTCAAAAAAGCAATTGCATTCGGAAAGGATGTGGCTGGCACAGAAGTCTTCTGGGTTGCGCAGATGGCCTCAGGAACAAAAACACCCACCAGAAGCTTCCAGCAAGAGGGACAGGATTAGATTTCCTGCCACCCATTCCTGGGTTGTTCCTCTCTCTAGTATTGAGGGGGACCTCAAAGGTCATCTAGTCTTAACCTTCTGTCAGTGCTGGAAAACAGTTCCTCCAGTATGACTGCTCAGTAATTCTATGGTCTGCTTTTTTGAAAGCCACCAACAAAGACAAGTCCACCACTTTAGGAACTCTGCTTTTTCCACTGAGTGGACTGAAAAAAATTTTGAGACAAATAAAAAGATTTCCTCAATTGAAATCCTTCCTGTCAAGGGCATCCCTGTGGTCAGAAAAATTAAGATGGCAGCCATGGCTTCATGGCACAACTACGAGTGTGGCCACCATTTTGACCCCTTCTTCTCTGCAGCTGCCACCCGATACAATTTTGCTTCACCAGATCTTTATATTAATTCTTTAGGCCAGGGGTGGGGAACGATGGCCCATTTATCATTTGTGGACATCAACTCCCAGAATTCTTGAGCTAGCACAGGGAATTCTGGGAGTTGAAGTCCACAAGTCATAAAAGGGCCGTTGTTCCCCACCCCTGCTTTAGGCCTTGACTTGGAAGCAAGCCCCAACTGAAATCAATATAGGTGGGTACAAGGAGTACAGGAAGACCTAGTCCTACACCTACAACCATTTAATGATTGAATGACGTTACAATGGCACTGGAAAAAAAAGTGACTTACAACCAGTCCTCGCACTTACGACCACTGCAGCATCCCACAATCACGTGATCAAAATTTGGGAGCTTGGCAACTGCCATGTATTTACAATAGCTGCAGCATCCTGAGGCGATTTGACTGTGATTTGCAAACTTCCCAGGGGGCTTTCAACAAGTAGAGCCAATGGGGGAAGCTGGATTTGCTTAACAACTATGGTGATTCGCTTAACAACCATGGCAAAAAAATGACGTTAAAAATGGGTCTGGCTCACTGAGCGACTGCATCTCATAGCGAAGGAAGCTGCAGTCCCAGCTGCCATTGTTAAATCGAGAACTACCTCTACTCATCTTGGAAAATCTATCCTGTATGTAGTATAATTTGTGGCAAAGGAAGCCTCCCTACGGGGTGCCTATAAAACTTTGTGCACTTTTTATTTTTACTAACTTCAGTTCCATATAAAATATAAGCCATCTCTGGAACGCAGCAGAGGAGGAATTTTAGCATTTTTATTTGCAGGAATGTTAACTTTCAACATCTCTCCCACCCTTTTGGAGGCCAAACTTAGCACAATTTTGACTATGGATATTCTCAGTCATCCAGGTCACAGATGTCCCAAAGGTGCTATTTTTCAGGAGGCAACTGGACTTCCTGGTTTTTTCTTTGAAGACGTTTCACTTCTCATCCAAGAAGCTTCTTCAGCTCTGACTGGATGTTGGGAAATGGAAAGATGTATATACGTCTTCAAAGAAAAACCAGAAAGTCCAATTGCCTCTTGAAAAAAAGCACCTTTGGGACTGCACAATTCTGAGGTTCTCCAAACACGTTCTGCAGTGGTGTTTGATCACATTGCTTAGCCTAAGTTTTGGTTCAATCCGCATTTTATTGAAATCGTGAACAAATTCTTGTTATACCTTACAGAGAAGTGAGTAGAAATTGAAGCTGCCAAAAGCTTTTATAGATATCTTCCGTTTCACAGCAATCTGGGGACAGCAGAATCCAATTTTATTTTGCCCCAAAGAATTTGGCCGATCCCAGAAGATAATTAAATCAAAAACAGCTGAAAGTGTCCTTGATGATCTGGAAGTGCCCTGAATAGCCAAGATATGGGGGAGGGGGGAAATCTCATAAAGACTGAACAAAAAGCATTCCAATTTTTAGAAGGGGAAGGGGTTCTTTAACACTTCCGGTGATGGAGAAGCTCTGGAGGTTCACCCAGAAACCTTATCTTCCTCTCTTGTATTTATCTGATCTCCTTTACAAATGCTTCTTTCCTTTTTCCAATCAGAGAGATGCAAAGTATTTCAAAGAATCACAGATGTAGTGATATTGAAACCCTAGGAGAAACGATGAAAAGGCTGACTTATGTTTTGCCCGCAGGGGTATCTGATCCAAAGGACCTGTGAGAATGCTTTTCTTCCCACCCACCCAAATTAGCATTGTAGATGTTGGAGCAAAACGTGGCTGATGATTGCAGGGCCACAGATTTTAATGCTCCAAAAATGCCACGCGGACAGGGCCACCTTCCAAAAGTGGTATCCATTAAGGGAAGGGGACAAAATGGATTCCTTAGGCCTTTGCGTCACTTAAGACGTGCATTTTGTCCGTTGTAATCCTCCCCAAACCCTCCAGCCACCCCCCCCAAAATGGGGACATTTGGGGTGGGTCTATTCTAAAAGGTATTGCTGCAACCTGAGATAATAATCTTTTGCATTGTTTTGTTAGAGGAAGATTCCTAATTGCGAGTCTGTTGATGGAGGCATACATTTTTTCTGGGGCTGGCAGAAGCTCTTTTCAGTGGAAAACAGTTAAGGCCATCTCCTTGAATTCTGCTTTGATGTTCTTGCGTGGAGAAGGCCCAGGGTTGGACTAGATGACCTCTACGTTCCTTCCCACTCACTGCATCAATATCAAGGTGGGTGGGTTCTCTGCTCTTATTGCTCTGCAAATCTGCTGGAAATCCACAGCAAGAGACCAGGAGTTAAATATCTTTTTTTCCTCCCCTGTTGCATCTTGTTTCCTCAACCCAAAAGTTATTTTCCAAAATGCAACTGGACTTTCTTGGTTTTTCGCCTTGAAAACATTTCGCTTTTCATCCAAGAAGTATCCAAACTGAAGAAGCTTCCTTGGATTAGAAGCAAAATGTTTTCAAAGGAAAAAAAAAAAACCCCAAGAATGTCCTGTTGCCTTCTGGAAAAGTACGTTTGGGACGTTATTGTTGTGAGCTGCCCTGAATCCATTGGAGATAGGGCGGCATATAAATCGCATTAAACTAAAAACCATGACTTGGATGATTGAGAATTTCCATAAACACTTGTTCCCTCAACTACACATCCTTGCAAATGTGTCTCAGCCAAAGATGTCCAGATTGAAATATTAAGAGCCATTTTAAAAAGATAAAAAAAATGAAATGAACTTTCAATCCATCCTGACACACACATCCCCATCCCACCCACCCCCGCCATCCTGTCCCTCAACTTTCCTCTTTGACTCTGAATGAGCACTGAATGGCAGTATGGGGGCTACTGATAAGAGCAATGATAACATTGAGTATCGGCATACCGTTTTTCGAGGGTTCAAAGGCTTAGCCTGACAACTGTCCTGTAAACTAGGCCAAGACCAGAATTAATCCTGTTCTGAAATTGAGGCTGAGAGAAGATGGCTTTTTTAAGGCCACCTGGTGAATCTGGGATGAGGCTTGAAACGGGACATTGCCCTCCTGGTCACTTTGCTCAGAGACATCTGCTGAGGGCAGGGAAAGAGTCAAAAAAGTCAAAATGGCATCTTCAATTAAAGCTGCCATCTTCATTCCCCCCCCCCCTCAGGTGTCTCAGACTTTCCTGCAACACATTTTGATCTTGATTAAGTGTCAGAGGATGATGTGTCTTGAATTAAAGCAGAGTTTCGATACCTTGGCAAGTTTAAATTGCGTGGACTTCAGCTTTCAGAATTCCCCGGCCAGCCATGCTAGCCGGGGAATTCTGGGAGTTGAAGTTCACAGGTCTTAAAGTTGTCACGGTTGGGAAATCCTGAATTAAAATGTACTTTGCAGCCAATTCAAACACATCTCTAGGGCTGTGCCCTGCTCACAAAACACCTATCGACTAAATTTTATTTAGTGGCCACCGATGATGGGAGTTGTAGTGCTCACAGATCTGGATGGCCACAGTTTCACCGTTGTGGCCTTAGGATGCAGAGCAGGGGTGAAATCTAAAATTTGTTACTACCCAGTTCTGTGGGTGTGGCTTGGTGGGGGGGGGGTAATGTGACTGGGTGGGCATGGCCAACTTTTTTTTTTTTTCTTTTAAAAGCATTTTTTCTACAACCTTAAAAGGTTGCAGAAAAAAATGCTTTTAAAAGCCTCTGACGATCAGGCAACTCAGCTGGGATCGCCAGAGGCTTTTAAAGGCATTTTTTGTTTCTACAACCTCCTTAGCCGAAGAGGTTTCAGAAAAAAATGCTTTTAAAAGTTTTTAAAAAACAGCCTCTGATGATCGTGCGGCTCAGCTGGGCATGAAGGGGGGGGGGGCCGGCAGGGATTTTTGTTACCGGTTCTCCGAACCACCCGCTGCCATCGCTACCGGATCGGGCGATCTGGTCCAAACCGGAAGCATTTCACCCTTGATGCAGAGGCCACTGAGAGATTTTTGTCAAGGCTGGCCTACATCTCCTTGTAGAGAAAGCCATCACGGCAAACAAGCTTCTGATTAACGCATGCAGCAACAACCACCAAGGATGTCCCCAGGGAGGGTCAAAAAAGTCAAGATGGCAGCAGCAGCTGCATGATGCGTGTAAAAAGTTATGTCTACCATTTTGAATTTGTTTTTTTTAATCCTCCTTGTGGACAGAGCCAGATGCAAAAATGGATGGAATTATAGGTATAATGAGGCAAAAAAAAAAAAAAAAGAACAAGGGGAAGGAGAATCAAGATCTTCTATTATAACCTATAACAACAGAGTTGAATTTTAGCATGCCTTGTGGCATCTGGTTCCTGACCTACAAGGAGTCCTCATTTAACAACTGTTCAATGTTACAACGGATTACTTATGACCCATTCTCAAAGTTATGACTATTGCACCCTTGTTGTTGTCACGCCTGACATTTGGAGAACTTGGCAATCAGCTTGCATTTACAACCTTTTACAATGTCCTGCACTGCATGATTACATTTTTTATCCTTTTTTTTTTTTTGCCATTTTCCAGCAAAAAAGATGCATTGGATATGCTGGATTCGCTTAACAACTACTTCATTTGCTTAATGACTATGGAGACTCACTTTACAACCACTGTAAAAACTGGTTGTAAAAATCAAGTTAGATCACGTGTTAGTCCATTTAACAACCTCAATGAACAAAATCCCGGGCCCAATTGTGGTTGTTAAATGAGGACTACCTATAGTCTACCTCAAAGGGCTGATGTCGAGGAAAGTGGGCTGTGACACAGAGAAAAATTAGATATTTTGGTTCAAAAGATTCATGTTTGATTTAGAGACCTGACTCAGCAGTGTCACCAAGGTCAAAAAAGTCAAGATGGTGGCTACACTTATGCTATTGAGCCCCTTCCTTCCATTTTATTGCCTGTAAAAAGAGCCAGGGCTTTGATCACAGACTTCTCTGCAGATTGAATCCTCTGGATTGAAAGTTTCCCATTTCTGATTTAAGGTGAAAATATTCCTTTCCTTCCATTGGTTTATTCTGGGCATATTCAGTTTGCCTTTCAAAGCTGCATCCAGCCCCAGACAAATGTTAACAAACTATTATTATTATTATTTTAACGTGACCAAAAGAGACATTAATAAATGCTTGGGGAGTTTTAGTCAGGTAATTTAAATTATGTTTGAATGAAAAATAAATTTAGATTAAGGGGACTTTGCTGACAGGGGGGCCTTGTGCTTACGGGGGCGAAGAGAAGCAAACAACCAGGATTAGTATTTATATGGGTTGCCACATCATTCATGGCCATCAGATGGCAGCAAACAGCAAACCCAAGCATCTTCCTGCCATCTAGTGGGTTACTTGAGTTTTGCAACCTATATATCCTAGTCCTAAGAACAAGAACAATACAGAATTGCTAATATCTGCAAAATTTGAGCAAAAGAAGAATTGAGGAGAGGTGGGAAAGCATTGCTAAATCTGACATCTTCACGACCTGTTTTAAGATCATGCTCCAGGCTCAGATTTCCTAAAGCCAGTTATGCATGTGAATGTAGCTGCTGGGCTGGGCAGCATCTGTTTTAATCTTCCACCAGTAGCCCAAGATTGTGCTATGTCAGAGCTGTGGGACATGATGGGAAATTCATGACACCTTGGAGCAGTGCTTGTCAACCTTGGCCATTTTAAGATGTATGGACTTCAATTCCCAGAATTCCTCAGCAACCAGCCAAGCTGAAATCGATGAATCCTAAAGCTGCCAAGGTTGAGAAACATGTACTATGTTCCTTCCCCATCCTAACGATGCTTCAGAAAAGCAATAGAATAAAAATGAGATCAGAAAATGGGGGGTGGGTGGTTTCTGGGGAAGAGACCTAGTTCATGGAGAATCCCAGATCATGTTTGAAGAAGAGCTCTGTTTCCCTGGAAGTATTTGCAGCCTAAGGAACTTAGTCTCCTAGGTGGTTTATGCAACTAGCCTGTGATGGTGTGTGAGAATGGCTTTGGGAGACGGGAGAGGGAGCTGCAGAAACCATTTCCCAAGGTTTCTGTCCTTCTGTGGACTGAGACATCTTTTACAACCTGGTTATCCAGTCTGTAGCTCTCCCTGCGGTCTGCCAAGGTCATTCCCACATACCAGGGGTCTCCAAACATGGCAACTTTAGGACTTGTGGACTTCAACTCCCAGAATTCCCCAGCCAACCATATCTCAGGGCACCTATTTCCTTAAAAGTGGGAATGACAAATATCATCCATCCCTGGAACAGATGCCAATCAAATAGAATCAGCCTCCCTCTTTCCCCTTGGATAAATCCTTTCAGAAGCTGGCTAAAGTAGTAGCAACAAGAGAGAACTGGCAGCAAAGAAAATGTCTTAAACCAGTTATGCTCAATTCAGCTGCCTCCAGGTAGTTCGCACTACAATTCCCATCACCTGATCAGGCCCATCCTGGTGGGACACCAAAACCTTCGGCAGAGGCAAGATAGGCTACCTGAATCTTGTGCTGAGAAAAAATGTCTTCCTTTCTCTCTTCTAAAATTACGCAAAAATTTGCAAAGCATTGTTCTTCTTTTGTTAATTTTTAGAAGGTTCTAATGTGGGGAAGGGGGAGAGGTTCAGGGTGAGGTGGGGGGAGGCTGAGAAGACCAAAGCAGAACCAGTCAACTCTCCTCCAATCACTGGGCAATTTGATTGCCCCTCTGAATTTTAAGGCCCAGTGGTGGGATTCAGCCGGTTTCTCCAAATTGGGCGAACCGGTAGCGGCGACTGTGGGAGACTCCGCCTACCCACCCTGACATAATGTGCACCTACTGCTCATGCGCAGAAGGCCACACGCATGTGTAGATGAGGCATGTGCGCACGTGCGCTCACATTTGCGAACCGGTAAGGAATGTAAGTGAATCCCACCGCTCTTAAGCCCCCATTTTCCAGAAGATCTTTGTAACCAAGACGAGCTTTTGCAACTTCTCTTTTAAAAATGAGAGTTAATTCTCAGAAATCTGGGCTTTGCGCCCCAATTTTGCTAGGGTGGGGGGGGGGTGAGGCGGGAGGAACATGTCAACCTGACTGGAATCAATTTTTTTTTTTTAAGTGCCAGGTTTTCAACATATCTGCATAAATGCCTAGTGGGTATGCGCTGCACGCAACTGTGCCATCCTGCAGTGGGCCCTGGGAAGAGATACGAGAGGGGAAGAAAAGGCGATCAGCCATTCCCATCACACATGGAAACCCCGTCACATCCTGGATGGTCGGGAGGAAGATGGGGGAGGAAGGGGCTGGAGATACGGGAAGGGGGAGGGGTCAAAGCTTGTGCTTCCATTGGGGTCAGAGGTTAAAAGTAGTTGCTGCCATCCTCTGCCCAGTCCAGCTTTGGACGCTGCTTCTGGTGTTTCCTCCGGTCCTTGCGGGATTTGCGATGGTGGTGCTGCCGGCGTTGGCGGTGGTGACGATGGTGCCGCCGGGTTCTGTGGGACCGTCTGGCTACAAGGAATCAACAGCCAGGAAAGATGGAGGCATTAGTCACTCAGCCCAGACTAGGGGGTAAATGCAACAAGGAGTAGTTCTACATGCAGATAGTCCTCGTTTAACAATTGCCTCATTTAGTGACCACTTGCAGTTACGGAGGTGATGAAATAAGTAACTTTGCAACCAGTCTTTTCCTTTATGACCTTGGCAGGTCTGTAAAGCCACAGAAAGCTGAACTACGATTATAAACATAATTGCGGTTTCACTTAGCAACCATTTCATTTAGTGACTGAGCAGTAGGTGCCAATTGGAGTTGCTAAACGAGGACTGCCTGTACTCAACTTTCATAAAAGGCATTGCCTGCACAAACATTACCCGTCCTGAGCCAGTTTGACAGAAAGGCAAAACTGCTGGACTAGCAACCAGGAGATTCTGAGTTCTAGTCTCTCCTTTGGCAGGAAAGTCAGCTGGGTGACTTTGGGCCAGTCCCTCTCTCCTAGCCCGTCCTACCCCACAAGACTGTTGTAGTGGGAAGAAGAGGCAGAAGCCTTATGAGTGCCATTTGCAGCTGTACAAGCAAAAGTGAAATATAAATCAAATAAATAAGAAACTCACTGATCCGTACCACATATTCATTTATCCTCCTATATTTCTCCCAATGCCCTCTCCCTTCCAATATGTTCCTTCCTGACCTAGGTACCCAGCTGCCCTTGGCTAATCTTGAAGGCAAGTCAGACTTGGTCACACCTTGAGAATGGGAGACCACTAGGAAATCCCATAATTATTGCAGCAGAAGTGGAGAGAAGGACGGGACAAGGCAGCGAAGGGCAGGGAGGGAGGGAGCAGTGGCAGGATTCAGCCGGTTCGGGCTTGTTCGAGCGAACCGGTTGTTAAATTGCTGGCTGGCCCCGCCCTGCCCCTTCCAGGAGTCCTCACGCGCCCCATTTTGGCTCCCAGGTAAGTGCAGGGAGGCCTACTAGCCCAAAATGGGGCACGAGGAAGGGTGCAGCATGCCCCCTCCGGCCCATTTTTGCTCCCAGAAGGCTGCAGGGAGGCCTACTAGGCCCAACATGAATCCTACCACTAGGAGGGAGGGAGGAAAGAAGGATAAAAAGAAGAAAGAGGGAGGGACAAAGGATAAAATAGAAGAAAGGGAGGGAGGAAGGAAGGAAGAGATAAAAAAGAAAAAAGAGGGGAAGTGAGGAAGGAACATGTTCATTTTTTAAACAAGAATTGAGCTGGTTTATCTGGAGGATATACTTTTCAAGAACTTTTCTCCCTGTATCGACATACTCTGGTGCCCTTCTCCCATCCGCTCCCTCCATCCTCCCCGAATCCCACCTACCCAATTCTTTTTTCAACCCAAGGAGCAAAAGAGCTCTCCCAGTCCGACCCCGGGAGATGCTGGTTCTTAGCGCAATTCAAAAGGCACCGTGAGCCCTTTCCCAGGTTTCCTTCCCCAGACCACCTGAAGTCCTGCCCAGCCAAGAGGGCAAGCGGGAAAGGGGAAGAGAAAGGGAGAGATTTCCTAGCCTCCTAGCCATCCATTTCCACCCTGGTCCCTGAAAGTGACTCACGTTTTGTGCAGAGGACTTTGGGGTTCTCCCACAGGCCGTTGACGTGACATTTGATGGTGGGCATATGTCTTTGGAGGAAGCCTTCTGCGCACTGGTATCGGACGGTCGAGTGCACGCTGTACCTCTCCTTCTTCTTTCCGATGGGGGAAGCGTTTTCCACCAGAGGGGGTGGCCCACACAGCACTACAAAGACCATACAAGTTGTAGACGGGGGACAGAGGTAGGTTTCAGCAGGTTCTGACCAGTTCTGGAGAACTGGTAGCGGAAATTTTGAGTAGTTCTGAGAACCGGTAGTAAAAATTCTGACTGCCCCCCCCCCTCCAATCTATTCTCTGCCTCCCAAGTCCCAGTTGATTGGGAGGAAATGGGGATTTTGCAGTAACCTTCCCCTGGAGTGGGGAGGGAATGGAGATTTAACAGTATCCTTCCCCTTGAGTGGGGAGGGAATGGAGATTTAACAGTATCCTTCCCCTGGAGTGGGGAGGGAATGGAGATTTAATAGTATCCTTCCCCTGCCACGCCCACCAAGCCATTCCACGCCCACCAAGCCACACCCACAGAACCGGTAGTAAAAAATATTGAAACCCACCACTGACAGGGAAGGCATAGAAAAGCCCCCCCTTGCAACATCTGGGGGGATTGATTTTGTTAGGCATTTCAAAAAGGCGGCCTTCTTGTTACTGTTTTTTTTTTCCCCTTTCAATTTTTCAGTTTTTAGGCTTATGGTTTCCAGCCCAGGACAATTTATTTTTTTCCCTTGGACATTTTCACCCGATTTACTAGGAATCACAATTTAAATCATCTCAGCATCCGTGGGTGCCATAAGGCAACAATTCTGCAAAGCTCTATTTAACCCTGGAGCAAGCGTTGTGGGGCGCCGAGTGAGCTATTGCCGCTTATAACTTCAATAAGCTGATAGTCACGCAACTCGCTCGCTCATTACCTCCCTGATAGACCTTTGTTCACTCCGGTAACATGATCAGTTTCCTGAAGTCCCCGGCTGTAATAATAATTCCTTTTTAGTGACTCGCCAGGTCTGATTGTTCACTGCTCAACTGACTTTTGTGGAGACGATGTTCTTGAAAGGCGTAAAAAGAAAACGTTCTACAGCAACGAGCAGACATGATCAGATTTTATACTCATCGTATATTTCGGAAGTCTTTTCAAACTGATGCACGACCCTCTCCTTTGAGGCTGAGGGGAGCACCGTGTCCCCCCACCCGGAGAAGCCTCTGAACTCATTGTGTGGAGGGGTCTACAGGTCAGAAACGGACAACTTGCCACAACCAACTTGCCACGACCAACTTGCCATGGCCAACTCACCACGGTCAACTCGCCGCAGGAGAATTCAGTTTAATTATTTAAAATAATTAATAGATTATTTTAATTTTTGTCATTCACATTTCGTATTGTCCTTCCTTTGGCACTTTTTCTTTAACGATTCTATGCCACCATTTTTTTTGATATTAGTGTAACTCTTGTCCCACCATGAGTTGTCCTGTGGCAAGTTGGCCATGGTGAGTTGGCCGCAGTAAGTTGGCTGTGGCGCGTTGTCATAGACCCCCTATAGATAGTCCTCGGCTTACGAGCACAATAGAGCCTGGAATTTGGCTGTAAGTCATTCTGGTCATTAAGTGGATCACCACATGACCAGGGGTGCTATTCAGCAGGTTCTGACAGGTTCTGGAGAACCGGTAGCGGAAATTTTGAGTAGTTCAGAGAACCGGCAACCACCTCTAGCTGGCCCCAGAGTGGGGTGGGAATGGAGATTTTGCAATATCCTTCCCCTGGAGTGGAGAGGGAATGGGGATTTTGCAGTATCCTTCCCCTGCCACACCCACAAAGCCATGCCCATCAAGTCACACCACACCCACCAAGCCACAGAACCGGTAGTAAAAAAATTTGAATTCCACCACTGCATGTGACTGTTTTTACAGTGAGTCACTGCAGTTGTTAAGCAAATCACATGGTTGTTAAATGAGTCCAGAATAGCCAATGAGCGATTTTTGTCATCTTCTGCCCGGAAACAGCAAAAAGAGACTGGAAAACGTGGTCACATGACTTCAAGATGCTACAACCGATCATAAATGCGAGCTGGTTACCAAGCACCTGAAATGAGATCACATGACCAGGGGGGAGGGATGTGGCAGTTGTAACTTTGAGGATGAGACATTAAGTACAAATCGTCAATTTACCACAGTTCATTTAGTGACTGTTCAAAGTTACAACGGCATTGTAAAAAGTAACTTATGACCGTTTTTCACACTTACGACTGTTGCAACATCCCCATGTCACTTGATCAAAATTCAGACACTTGGGACCTGACTCATAGTTATGACGGTTGCAGTGTCCTGAGGTCATGTGATCCCCTTTTACAACCATCTGACAAGTAAAAGTCAATGGGGAAGCCAGATTCACTTAACAACCATATTACTAACTTAACAACTTCAGTGATTCACTTAACAACTGTGGCAAGGTAGGTCTTAAATTGGGGGGAAAATCACTTAACAAATGTTTCACTTATCAACAGGAATTTTGGACTCAATTGAGGTCATAGTCAAGGATTACCTTTAACATTTGTTGAGTCTGTCATAATTTTGAACGGTTGTTATGCCACCAGCTGTTAAATGAGGACGACCTGCTATCACTGATGATATAACCTAGTTGGGTAATGAAATGTCTGCCAAAAAAACAGCCAAGCTCAAAGAGCACCAAGAGACCCCACATGTTCATGCTGTTGCCCCCCAAAAATGACATTGAAGTGTCCCTGTAAGACACTAGAGATGCTGGATTTGATGTTCCCATCACTATTTTCCTCCTGAATTTAATTAGACTCTCTGTGGATATTTCCACGTTCAATGACGCTGATTCAAATCTGAGATTGCTCGGCTTTTACAAAATACAATAAGGAAACAAATTGAATCTCCTCAGAAGGTTTACAATCTGTGTTTTATCACTGTAAGAGATGCAAGGAGAGGGAACTGAATCCTTTACAAATGTGGCTTTAAAGGAAGCAACAATCTGAATTCTGAAGACACACTCAAGGGACTTTTTTTCTGCTGAAGCAATTTATTTATATCTTCAGATGTTCTAGGAGGACCTTTTATAAATCCAACCGATGCCAAAGGGCCCATTTGGGGATGAAGTTATACTCCAGTACTTGGGGTACATGGGAAAGTGAGATTTCTATATTTAATTAACAACTTTTATCAGAGCTAATATATTGTTAGGATATGGGTTGAGCCTAACAAGTTGTCCAGGCAATATATGTGTACTGTAACTTTAATCTGTAAATGTATTATGTTACTTTAAAGGTTTTCTTGTTGATTTATTGTAATGCTGAGTCATGCTGTAATTAGATAATGACTGGTTGTGAGAGTATTTAAGCAAGGTATTGTAACGTATTCAGTTTGATGATGAAGCTGAGGTGATATGCTACCATTGTGTATGGAGCTGAGATGATATGCTACCATTGAGAGGAGTTGATATCTGCTAATCATCGTTGGATGGATCTGCTACCATCGTGGTTGGTGAACCAGAGTGAGTTTGTTATTCTAACCAACTACTGTTTGTGTGGTAAGAAGCTTTTTGTATCACTGGACTGATTTAACTGGCAAAGACTTGGAATTTGTTTAAAGACTATGAGACTGTTTTTCTACTATAAAGTAAGCTTTTGATAAACCAGTTTGCATATCTCTTATTCATTGCTCTCAGCAACGTTTCCTTGTGCATTTACTCTGCTGGTTGGTAACACAACACCAATATCCTTAACATATATCATTAGCCCTGGAAAAGGAAGACCCATTTCTCGAGCCTGTCACAAACAGCTGGAGGTTAATGTGACTTTTCCAACAAGCAACTTGGAGGGTCTTAATAGTTTTAATGGGAGAATTTCAAAGGCAAATTAACGAAAGTGGGAGAAAAAAATGGCCCCAAAGGGACTCATTTCGTTCCTGCCTCCACCAGCTGGAAAACAGAGAAATTAGGATCCCTGAGTAAGAACACTGTGGGTTTTTTTTTTAAAAAAAATCTCTGATGTGGGGAAAGCCACAGCTTTAGTTACCTTTTCTTTCTTTCTTTCTTTTTTAAAGAAGCTGTTAAGTATGGATTAAGTACAGTATTAAAAAAAATCTCATTTCAACTAATCCAAGTTGGGGTTTTGTTTTATATTTCCTTCCTTCTAGAGCAGCGGTGAGTGACAATGACCACTTTACAACCTGTGGACTTCAACTCCCAGAATTCCTGAGCCGGCTGGCTCAGGAATTCTGGGAGTTGAAGTCCACAGGTTGTAAAGGGTCCATAGTTGCCTACCCCTCTTCCAGAGACTCTTTTCAACAATCTGAAACAGTGGCCTCTTGAATACACACACACACAACTTTCCACAAGCACAGGTTGAATAGAAATTAGAAGGTAAGACAGGCAAGCTCAGAGACTGACAATATTTGCTTCTAATACGGATAGTCCTCGAATTTACAACCGGTCGAATTTGGCCTCGACTTACGACCTGTGAGTTTGAAGTTACAATGGACATCCTTGGCGGATATTTACGATCTGGATTCAAAGTTACGACAGTTCCCCATCCCCTGCCCCCCCCCAGTGTGGTCACTTCGGACAGTCAACAACTGGCCTGCATTTATGGACATTTGCAGCATCCCACAATCATGTGACAGTGTTTTATGAGGGTTTGGCTGAAAACCAGCCTTGACTTCCAGTTTTTTGCAAAGCCGCACCCATAGCGAACCATCGGTTCCAGTGGTGAAATCCAAATTTTTTTACTACCGGTTCTGTGGGCGTGGCTTGGTGGGCGTGGCAGGGGAAGGATATTACAAAATCCCCATTCCCTCCGCACTCCAGGGGAAGGATACTGCAAAATCTCCATTCCACCCCACTCTGGGGCCAGCCAGAGGTGGTATTTGCCGGTTCTCCGAACTACTCAAAATTTCCGCTACCAGTTCTCCAGAACCTGTCAGAACCTGCTGGATTTCACCCCTGATCGATTCGCTTAATGACTGCAGCATTCACTTAATAATCATGGGTTTGTTTAACAATTGCTGTAAAAAAAAATCGTGTTTAATCATGTTGGTCATAAGGGAGACCTGATTTACGACCATCATGAGTTATGAGCACGATGGGCAGGCTCTATTACAGTCATAACTTGAAAACTCCCTCTATTTGGATCCAGGCTTTTTTTTCGCCCAATAGCTGATTGGAATGTAGGACATGGGGGTAAGATTGAAGAAAATAGGTGATAATATGTGAAACGTAGCCCAGGAAAACAGGAAGTTGTGAAAAAGAAACTCTGCTTTGATTTTTTTTGATACAGGTAGTCCTAAATGTACGACTGTAATGGAGCTTCCCGATTCAGATTATAAATTGCGGACAGTCGTAAAATAAGTCACCACATGACAGGACCTGTTTTTAACAACATTTTTAGGGACAGTTGTTAAACGGACGCTACAGTTAAGTGAACCCATTGTTCACTGTGGGCTATTTTTGCTGGAAAGTAAGAAATTGAAAGACGCTTGCTCCTGGGGAGGAAAGCCATGGCAAATCTGGCAAATAAAAAGAGCCGAGGTGGCGCAGTGGTTAGAGTGCAGTACTGCAGCTACTTCAGCTGACTGCTAGTTCAGCAGATCAGGGGATCAAATCTCATCGGCTCAAGATTGACTCAGCCTTCCATCCTTCCGAGGTGGGTAAAATGAGGACCCAGATTGTTGGGGGCAATATGCTATTTAGTATACTGTCTTTGATGTAAGCCGCCCAGAGTCCTCGGAGAGTGGGCAGCATAGAAATACGAATAATAAATAAAAATAAATAAATAAATCTAAACAGCATACTAAAAAGCAGAGATATCACCCTGCCAATAAAAGTGCGCATAGTCAAGGCTATGCTTTTCCCAGTTGCAATGTATGGCTGTGAAAGTTGGACCATAAGAAAAGCTGAGCGACAAACAATTGAGTCCTTTGAACTCTGTTGCTGGAGAAGACTCCTGCGATCCCTTGGACTGCAAGGCGATCCAACCGGTCAGTCCTAGAGGAGATCAACCCTGATTGCTCTTTAGAAGGCCAGATCCTGAAGATGAAACTCAAATATTTTGGCCATCTAATGAGAAGGAAGGACTCACTGGAGAAGAGCCTAATGCTGGGAACGATGGAGGGCAAAAGAAGAAGGGGACGGCAGAGAACAAGATGGCTGGATGGAATCACTGAAGCAGTCGGCATGAGCTTAAATGGACTCCAGAGGATGGTAGAGGACAGAAAGGCCTGGAGGAACGTTGTCCATAGAGTCGTGATGGGTCAGACATGACTTCACAACGAACAACAACAACAACAAAAGTAGAAGAAGTAAATGCTATTTTGGGACAAAAATATTGTAAATTGCAATCACGTGACTGTGGGACACTAGAAACAGTAAATGCGGGTTGGTCACTGAATACCCAAAATGCAGTTATGTGACCACAGGGAGGAGGACCAAAGGGACCCTAACAGAATTGGGTCACAAGAACCTTTTGGGTGGTACGTCATAACTTCAAACAGTCTTTAAGTGACCAGTCATAAATGGAGGACTACCTGTTTAAGGAGGGAAAAAGAAATGAAGGGCTGACAAAAAACACAAACATGATCCTGTGAGCAATAGCCAATGGGGTTTCTTCAAGCTGGCCTTGAAGAAAGAATTTAAAAAAAACCCAGAATGGATGCGTATCTGTATCTTTTTTTGCAGACGTACAAGGTATTTTACCTGTATCTTTTTTGCAGACGTAAGGAAGTTTGTAGTTACATGGGACATCGTTCCATTTCCCAGTCTCGTGGGATACCAACACCACGCAGTCCTCGCCGCCGGCAAAGAAATTATCTGGCTGGTTTTCACGCCAATTCTCGTATTGCTAGCAAACAACAAAGAATGACACGGAAATTTTAAAAAATAGTTTCCAAGATTGCACGTTTGTTGCCTCTTCCTTTTAATTTATTTGTTTTTATTTTTGGATCAGGGATGTCCAATCTTGGCCCCTTTAAGACTTGTGGACTTCAACTCCCAGAATTCCCCAGCCAGCCATGGCTGTGAGTTGAAGTCCACAAGTCTTAAAGGAGCCAAGATTGGACGTCCCTGATTTAGATCATGCATGCACAAAAGGAGTGGAGCTGGCATTTCATTGGGACAATGCTGCTTTTATAATTTGCGGCTTGGGTTGTGTACCTACTCCGACACCAGGGGTGGGTTCTAAAATTTTTTACTACCAGTTCTGTGGGGTGGCTTATTTTGTGGGCATGGCTTGGTGGGGGGGTAATGTGACTGGGTGGGCATGGCCAACTTTTTTTTTTTTATACTTTTTACTTTTAAAAGCATTTTTTCTACAACCTCAAGAGGTTGCAGAAAAAATGCCTTTTAAAAGCCTCTGACAATCCCAGCTGAGCCGCGCGATCATCAGAGGCTTTTTTTTTTTTTTTTACTTTTAAAAGCACTTTTTTGGCCGAAGAGGTTATAGAAAAAATGCTTTTAAAAGTAAAAAAAAATAAAAAATCCTCTGATGAAGTGGGTGGGGTAAGCGAGCGGGGACTGGGCCGGGGACCGGTTTGGGGGCGTGGCCAGCCAATGTTATTACCGGTTCTCTGAACTACTAGAAATTTTTACTACCAGTTCTTGCGAACCGGTGCGAACCGGGAACAACCCACCACTGCCGGACACCACTATTCTAGTGGGAAAATGTGTGTCATTTCCAACACTTAGTGATTTCTACAGGGTTTCAGCAAAAAAGCCAAGCTGGCAACTCGAAGAGTAGGATTGAAACTTTGCCTGTTTTTTTGAATGTGCGTTGCACATAAAACATGCAACTCACATAAAAACCGGCAGATCATATGATTGCGTCTGCCGCCTGGACTGTTTCACTGCACACCTGGCTTCATTGTGGTTCCCATCTTTTATTTGGATTGATTTTATTGTAGTATCTTTGACTGTTGCGAGCCACTCAGAATGGTTGACAGTGGAAAAATCAATTTTTGCCATGCATTCCAGTATTCTGTCCATTGATTGCAGCTTGCTATTGATTCAGGTAGAGAAGAACTTTTTCGTGGCCCTTTTTAAAGCTTAAATCTAGGGACAGTTATCTGAAAGGGAGGAGTCTAGCTTGGTGTGATCTGTTGCCTGTTGCAACAGATGTCAGGCACACATATTATTTTGATTTATTGATTTATAAAATGTATATGGCTGCCCATTCACTTTCAGTGACCCTAGGCAGTTTACAAACAATAAAAACCGTATATGCAAAGAGTAAAACCAATACCCCCCCACCTCCTTTGAAAGGAGCTCTTCGGGATAAGATTAAAAATTACTAGGAATTTATTTCATGCTACCCATGCATAAGAATCTAAACTACTAACAGTCAAAGTGAATTGGCACCAGATTAAGAGTCATTGCAGAATAACAGAGTTGGAAGGGACCTTGGAGGTCTTCTAGTCCAACCTCCTGCTCAAACAGGAGATCCTATGCCATTCCAGGCAAGTGACAGTCAAGTATCTTCTTGAAAACCTCCAGTGTTGGAGCATCCACAACTTATGGATGCAAGTCGTTCCACTGATTAATTGTTTTCACTATTGGGAAATTTCTCCTTAGTTCTAGGTTGCTTCTCTCCTTGATTAGTTTCCATCCATTGCTTCTTATCCTGTCTTCAGGTGCTTTGGAGAATAGGTTGAACCTCTCTTCTTTGTGGCAGCACCTTAGATTTTGGAAAACTGCTATCAAGCCATCCCTGGCAATCAACAGACTTCAAGGGGGTCTGGATTTAGGTTTCTTACAGGGGTGTAGATATTCCAAAGTCATGATGTGTTTGATCCTGCCCTTGGGCTCAGCCTGGTCATCTCCTATTTGGAAGAACTGGGAGAATTTCCCAGCTCCAGTCTTGGCTGCTTGAATTGGCAAGAGTCAACCCAGAGACCTTTGGCACTCAAAAAAGGTTGCACCGACTCAGACCGAATCTCCTCTTCCACAGACTCACCAATCCGGTGTTATCCGTCCACTGGAAATCCTGTTCCACGATGCGATCGTTGAGGCCGATCCAAGTGTTCTCGTGGCCAAAACCTGAGGGGGAGAAGAGCTTGGCGTAAGAAAAATGCATTTCTTAGAGAGGCTTGAGTCCTTCTTGGATTATTGATTTCCTTCATTGATCAGCAGCTGTCTATAGGTTGTTCCAATATTCCAAATGGGGTATGGTGGATTGGGGTGGGATTTTGCAAGAAAATGGCCTTGTGGGATGGTGTGAGGGGAGCATGGACAACCTGCACAATTGCTAGGACTGCATATCAGGATTGCAAAACAAGACAAGTACTAGATGGCAGCAAAGAGATACAGAACCTCCTAACTCTTTGCTGCCATCTGGAGGCGATTGGCCTCATCACTCAGTACTGCTCTACAAAAACTTTTTTCCCTCCCTCCCTCCCCTCTAAGGTGTGGTAGCATGTGGAAAAGACTCTGGGACACAGGGTGGAGAGGCCACTTCCAAGGGAAGAGTAAGATTATAATGAGCCTTGGTGGCGCAGCAGACTAAAGTGCTGTTAAGTAGCACCAGCTGCCTGCAATTACTGCGAGTTCAAATCTCACCAGGCTCAAGATTGACTCAGCCTTCCATCCTTTCGAGGTAGTAAAATGAGGACCCGGATTGTGGGGGCAATAAGATGACTTTGTATAAAAAAAGAACACCGCTTTGGGGGCGGGGAGTGAAAGCCCTACTAAGCAGGTATATACAATAGTATGAAGGCTATTGCTTAACGCATTGTAAGCCGACCTGAGTCTCCGGAGAAAGGGCGGCATATAAATCGAACCAATAAACAAATAAATAAATAAATAAATAAGATTAGTTATGGGGGGGGGTGCATTTTTTTTCTATTCCTCTAAAATGAGGGTCCTTTCTTTCTGTTTGTTGGCAAAAAGGGGTTATCAACCCACACGTTACTTCCCGGTGTTCAATTCACATGAAACTTCAACCAGCTGAGTTAAAAACGTAGGAGCTGCACTTAATACGACCTGCTAAACTTGGTTAATGAAGTAAATTAAGTTGGTAGCTTAAATTTGCCTGTTCTGCAACTTTAGACTGTTTGGTGGGTTTAGGATTTCATGTCTTAATGTGAACCTGAAGTAGTGGCAATGCGGAAGACGGTTGTTATTTCGAGAAGTTTGGTGACTTATTTTGATTTCTCCTTCATATTAAGAACCGTCTAGAGATTTAGAACTCATTCTGAGCTAGATTGCTTGGTGTTTTTTTTCTCTTTAACTCTTGTTTACTGAATAAAGTGGGGGTGGGAGCAGGGGTGGGTTCTAATTTTTTTTACTACCGGTTCTGTGGGTGTGGCTTATTTTGTGGGTGTGGCTTGGAGGTCATGTGACTAGGCGGGCATGGCTAGCTGGTCAAAGTCATTTCTGGAAGGTCCTCACACTTATGACCAGTCCTCGCACTTACGACCCAGTGCTTTTAACACTGATCAGCTGTAGGACAGCCCTTTGAAGCCGCACGGCAAGAGTTTAAACAGTTTTTTCCCCCTCTAGTCATCAGCTGGGGCTCAGGAAGCAGCAATAGATTGGGGGTGGGGCCAAATAAAAGGTAAGAATAATGTGGGTGGGGGGAGGGTGGGGGGGGAAGAACTGGTTCGGTGATGTCATATCGTCACCGCTACCGGCTCGGCCGAACTGGACCGAACTGGGAGGAACCCACCACTGGGTGGGAGGGATCTTCACATAACTTCAAAGTTTTTTTTCGCTGTGAAAGCCTTAGACTTTTGAGTCCCATCCCAGAGTCATGTGCCACTCAATCTTGCAGCCTCCTGACCAGTGGTGGGATTCAAATTTTTTTTTACTACTGGTTCTGTGGGTGTGGCTTGGTGGGCGTGGCTTGATGGGCATGGCAGGGGAAAGATATTGCAAAATTTCCATTTCCTCCCCACTCCAGGGGAAGGATACTGTAAAATCGCCATTCCCTCCCCACCCCACTAATCTGCTTTCCAGCTCCCTTCTCCTGTGCAGGGCAACAAAAGAAGACCCAGCCGATCAGCTGGGACTCGATCAGCTGGGACTTGGGAGGCAGCAAATAGATTGGGGGCAGGGCCAGCCAGAGGTGGTATTTGCCAGTTCTCTGAACTACTCAAAATTTCCTCTACCGGTTCGCTAGAACCGGTCAGAACCAGCTGAATAACACCTCTGCTCCTGACCATAGCAAAGCCACGGTGCCAGTGTTTTTAGATAAAAACCTTCGAATGGTTGTTGCTCATTGGGAGCTTCTGCACAGAACCTGCTAGCATTAAGTATGGTGGAAACTGCCCACCCATTGGGGTATCTCTGCTATCGTTATTAAGGCGTTCCTGGGCAGCTTGCAAGAGGTTTGGGCTTAAATCCTTTCATTCACTGGAGTGTTAATTGTTTCTGGATCCAAAATAACCAGTTGCCTGGGCATTAGATTACCGCCCGGACATCTGGCAAAACTCCCCAAAAATTACTTTTATACAGACTTAATACAGACCTTTAGCTATATACAATAATTTGGGATTATCACCCTTGGAATGGTATGGGAGTAGGAATGGATTTCCAGAGGAAAAATTTCAGACTACAGGAACCAGGAGCATCACTCAGGTGACCCTGAGGACACTGATAAACCTCCAAGTGCTTCAATGACTCTCTAAAACTTAACTTTCGGGCCAAAATTTATATATATTTTTAAATGTTTTAATATTTGTATTCTATGTTTTTTATCTTGGCTGTACACCGCCCTGAGTCCTCAGGGAGAAGGGCAGTATATAAATTGGAAATTAAATTAAATTAAATTAAATTAAAACAGAGGTCTTCAAACTTGGCAGCTTTAAGACTTGTGGACTTTAACTCCCAGAATTCTCCAGCCAGCATAGCTATGCATAGCATAGCATAGCTGGCTGGAGAATTCTGGGAGTTGAAGTCCACAAGTCTTAAAGCTGCCAACTTTGAAGACCTCTGCTCTAAAAGGATGCAAATGACCAGCTGTCTGCAAGGAATATAAATCCTTCCATTCCCCACTGTCCTGTCAGAGCTGAAGAAGCTCCTTGGATGAGAAGCGAAATGTCTTTCAAAGAAAAAACAAGACAGTCCAGTTGCCTCCTGAAAAGCATCTTTGGAGGGTCCCCGGAAATGGGCGATGCAATGACCACATTCTAGGTTCATACATCACAAGAGCCGTGGTGGCACAGTGGTTAGAATGCAGTACTGCAGGCTACTTCTGCTGACTGCCAGCAAGTTTGGCAGTTCGATTCTCACCGGCTCTCCTCTGATTCTCACTTTCCATCCTTCCAAGGTCGGTAAAATGAGGACCCAGATTGTTGGGGGCAATATGCTAACTCTGTAAACTTGTGTAAAGAGGGCTGTGAAGCATTGAAGCGCTATATAAGTCTAAGTGCTATTGCTATTTTGCACTGTCACACGGCCTTCCTCTCTTGCCGTGGCTCCCTTCTTCCCTTCTTCTCCCAGAGTTCCAACTTACTGCTAATGAAATTATGTTCTTCCCAGGAATGGATGCTGGTTAGGTGTCCTGACCGACGTCGGCAATCCCTCTCCGCGTCTTCCCATGCGCGCCGATGGGCGAAGTAGCGATAGCAGTGACCCTGGAATTTACGCCACATGTGGTCGCAGCCTTCTGTGTCTGAAGGGAGGAAAAAGCATCTAATGGGGCGCAACCAAAAGGTCAGCTTTAACTTCTTTTTAACGAGCATGCCAATTTACTTATTATTATGTTATTGATTATTATTATTATTATTATTATTATTATTATTATTATTATTAATATAAGAGCCTTGGTAGTACAGTGGTCTAAGGCACCCTGTTATTAAGCTGGTTATTAAGACCAGCTGCCTGCAATTACTGCAGGTTCGAATCTCGCCAAGGCTCAAGGTTGACTCAGCCTTCCATCCTTTCTAAGGTAGGTAAATTGAGGACCCAGTTTGTGGGGGCAATAAGCTGACTTTGTATAAATATACAAAAAGGATGAAGGCTATTGCTTAGCGCATTGTAAGCCGCCCTGAGTCTCTGGAGAAGGGCGGCATATAAATCAAATTAAATATATATATTTATATATATTATTGGTTAATCTTTAGTGAGATTCACAGCCTTTGAGGCTGGTTAATAGCTCAGCAGCTCTAATCCTAACCAAGGACCTAGGAACTGTTAATTATTATTATTATTATTATGTTATTAGCGGCCTCCAAAGGCTGCTTGGGCGGGAAGGAAATAGGCTGTCAAGGGCCACGTTGGATTAATGGCGTTCTTTCTCTCCGGCTGCTGAGCTGGTAGTTTCCCACACAAAGGGAATTTCTCAGCTGGAAAGCAGAGCAGGAAAAAATATGGAGGCTCCCATCCTTCACTCTCAACATCCCTCTGAGTTTGGAAGGAGTGAACGTGTGTGCTAGGCACACTTGAGTGTTCTCACAAAAAAGCCATGTTTTCTTTTTATATATATAAAAAAAAAAACGGATTCCGGGTTCAATAGGCAGCTTCTGTCAGGAGAAATGGATGCAATATTCACGATGTTTGATGTCTGTTTGGATTCCTAGAGCTGACTTAAACCACGTTGGTTCAAGAGGCAATGGCTGCCTTTGCGCAGAGGGCGAAGTTTGGCTGATGGTCAATATGGTGTAGTAGTGTGATGTGCCTGCTTGATTAATTTAAGATTCAGTGAACACAGAAGGTGGACTAATTAATTGACCAAGGTAGTAGTGTGAGGTGAATTCAGCCATTTAGCATCCTTGCCAAACCTATTAAATGCAGAGTGCAGTTAAGAAAATAAGATTCACCCAGACCTTCTTGAATGAATTTTAATGCTAAGAATTAAGAGTTAGAGTACAGAATCTGGAGAATCCGTGATAGGAACCTCTCCTGTCCTCTTATAGTGAGTTCAGTAAGGTGAAGCTTTCAAAACTTTTCAATCTTTTTTCCCTCTGGGATGATTGATTGATGGACTAAAGAATAGAATAGAAACGAAACAAACAGAAACAGAAACAATAAAATAGAATAGAATAGAATAGAAGAATAGAATAGAATAGAATAGAATAGAAACAGAAAGAATAGAATAGAATAGAATAGAATAGAATAGAATAGAATAGAATAGGAAAAGAACAGAATAGAATAGGAAAAGAACAGAACAGAACAGAACAGAATAGGAAAAGAACAGAACAGAACAGAATAGAAAAGGAAAAGAACAGAGTAGAATACAGTAGAATAGAATAGAATAGAATAGAATGGAATGGAATGGAATGGAATGGAATGGAATGGAATAGAATAGAATAGAATAGAATAGAATAGAATAGAATAGAATAGAATAGAATAGAATAGAATAAAGAATGGAATGGAATGAAATAGAATAGAGAAAGAATGGAATAGAATAGAATAGAATAGAATAGAATAGAATAGGAACAGAACAGAACAGAACAGAACAGAACAGAACAGAATAACAGAGTTGGAAGGAACCTTGGAGGTCTTCTAGTCCAACCCCCTGCTTAGGCAGGAAACAATTAGTTTATGTCAGCCTTCCATCCTTCCGAGGTGGGTAAAATGAGGACCCAGATTGTTGTGGGGGGGGCATATGCTGACTCTGTAAACCACTTAAAGAGGGCTGTAAAAGCACTACGAAGCGGTATATACTGTAAGTCTAAGTTCTAGTGCTATTACTATTACAGTCAGTCCTCAAGTTACAACCACAGTGGGGACCACAATCTGTACAGGTAGTTGACTGATGACGGTTCACTTAGTGACTGTTTGACTGTTTGACACAACAGCACTGAAAAAAAAATGACTTATGACTGTTTTTCGCACGTACAGTATGAATATTGCAGCATTCCCATGGTCACGTGATTTACATTCAAATGCTTGACAACTGACTCACATTTATGATGGCTGCCATGTCTGGGGGGTCATGTGATCACTTTTTGCCCCTTCTGACAAGCAAAATCAACGGGGAATCCAGCTTCACTTAACAACCGTGTTACTAATATAACAACTGCAGTGAATCCACTGAACAAACGTTGCTAAGCAATACTGAGTAATGCCTGATTTTATGGTCTCTTCTGCCATGACTGTTAAGTGAGTCACATGGATGTTAAGCAAATCTGGCTTCTCCTATTGACTTTCCTTGTCAAAAGCCGGCAGGGAAGGTGGCAATTGGAGATCACACGACCCCAGGATGCTACATGTCGGTTGCCAAGCAACTGAATTTAATCATATGGAACAGGGATGCTGCAGCGGTTGCAATTTTGAGGACTTTTCAGTGGTCTTGTAACTTTGAAAGATTGCTAAATGAATGATTACAACTTGAAGACTCGGTGTGTTTATGTATATACACATGTACACACACATACACATACAATTGTGTGTGTGTGTGTGTATCAAATTTATATTTCGCTGATAAAGAAATAAAGGGAGACTAGTATAGATCTATTTCAAGCTATTTAGCTCTCATCAACTAGCCATACCCTTACTCGGATTCGAGTATGGCTAGCTGATGAGAGCTAAATAGCTTGAAATAGATCTATACTAGTCTCCTTTTATTTCTTTATCAGCGGAATATAAATTTGATATAAAATGGTTTGTCGTGAATGCGACTGCTTGAGGGCTCCTGGATTGGAGCTGAAAGGCAAAAGGGAAGCAGTATGCTCCCTGCCACATATTGGGATAGACCAGGTGCTTCAATAGAAAAACACTTTATATATATATGTATATATATATATATATACACACATATACATACAGTATGTCACAGAAGTGAGTATACCCCCTCACATTTTGTAAATATTTACTGTAAGTATATCTTTTCATGTGACAACACTGAAGAAATGACATTTGGCTACAATGTAAAGTAGTGAGTATACATAAGTGCTTGGTCTTATTTTTGGGGAGGTCTTATTATTTTGGGGTGCGTGGAGCAAGATGGGGCTCCTCTTGCCATCTTACCTGATTTTCAGCTCTGTCTCCCTAACCCTAACCAGACCAGCTGTGGATGCTTTTAAATATTTTCGGGAAGGGCTTATTTTCAGGGGAGGGCTTATTTTTGGGGAAACACAGTACACACACACACACACACACACACACACACACACACACAAAGGTACTGTCCTTGCCCACCTTCTCTGAGCTTGAAAAACAAAATAGGACCCCATTTGACGAGCGGTTGGATGGGAGACCACCAAGAGATCCTCTTAGCTGTGGACTACACTGGGAAGTTAAAAAAAAAACCATCCAGGTAGATGGTGGCCTCCTCCTCCTTCACTATTACATCTCCACGGAGGCATCAGGATGGAGCTCCACTTTATTTCAATGGCCACGAGTATCTACGGGGTTGGGGAATGCGACAACCTGCGTGTCCTTGCATCGGCAGCGCAAGTTCTGCATCTCTGTCATTTCATCTCACGCCGCAGTCAACTCACTGCATAACGGTGTGATTTGCACAGTGAGGCGACGACATGCATGACATCGTTTTGACATGGCTGTGGTTTTCGGCCAGACACACCTAGAGAAGCTGAACCTGCTCTGGGATGCTTTATTCCTCCGTGGGAATGATTTTTGGAAAAAGTTGTAGAGGGCCCTTCTCACCTCGGCTGCATAAGCTCCCTCCGTAGCTGGGCAAGCACAGGCAGACAAAGGCGTTGATCTCGTCAATGCAGGTCCCGCCATTTTGACAAGGGTTGGATAAGCAGTCATCGATATCTGTGGGGACAAGAGCATGCGTGAAGGTGGGGACTCCGTCACATTATGGATGCTGGAATTCACAAGTCCCTCTTCCGATTGTCTGGGTTCTGTTTATCAGGAAACCCCAATACACTTTTTATTTATTTTAATTTATTTATATCCCGCCTTTACAAGTAGTCCTCGACTTACAACGGTTCATTTAGTGACCGTTCAAAGTTACAACGGCACTGAAAAAAAAGGTTGTAAAATGGAGCAAAACTCACTTAACAAATGTCTCACTTAACAACAGACATTTTGGGCTCATTTGTGGCCGTGAGTCGAGGACTACCTGTATTATCTTTATAAATAAATCTAGGCAGTGAACATATCCAACACACTTCCCTCTTCCTATTTTTCCACTACAACAACAACCCTGTCAGGTGGGTTGGGCTGAGTGAGAGGGACTGGCCCACCCAGCTGGCTTTCATGCTTAAGGCAGGACTAGAACTCTCAGTCTCCTTATGATTGGCCCAATATCACCCAGTTGGCTTTCATGGCTAAGGCGGGACTAGAACTCCTAGTCTCCTTATGATTGGCCCAATATGTCCCAGTTGGCTTTCATGGCTAAGGCAGGACTAGAACTCCCAGTCTCCTTATGATTGGCCCAATATGATCCAGTTGGCTTTCATGGCTAGGGCGGGATTAGAACTCTCAGCCTCCTTATGATTGGCCCAATATCACCCAGTTGGCTTTCATGGCTAAGGCAGGACTAGAACTCACCTCTCCTGCTTTCTAGCTGGGTGCTTTAATCATTAGACGAAATTGGCTTTTTGCATATACAGTAGCAGGCAAAAACTGAACTTACGATTTATGGTTTTGTTGATTAGAAAAACAAAATATTATAAAAAGGGTGGATTTTTTAAAAAAATAACCATAGTATAAGAGGTAACTTTGTGTTTGTACTTATAATTGCTGTAAAGAAAATCAGAAACTATTTTTTCTATTTCATGGCTGGCTGGGGAATTCTGAGAGTTGAAATCCACACATCTTCGAATTGCCAAGGCTGAGCTACACTGCCCTAGAGAAATAATACCAATGGATGCACTGAACTCTCGCGGGAAATATAGTCTGTGCATATGAGTTGGCTTGAAACACAGACAAGCTCAGGGCTGGGGATGAATCCTCAGGGCTTATCTGGGTTGGAGGAACACAGCCAGCTGCATCTGAAGCAAAGATTAAAACATAGCAATCCAACAGATAAATGCAGCTACATCCATCTGGGAGCCCGACAGCCGAGCATGTGCATAAAATTAGTGTGAAACTTCATGTCTCGCTCCTTTGGCTGACTGTAGCCATTCTGGTTCTTTCTCAGAACCTAGAATGAAGGGAGGATTGTATCAAAAAATATCTGCAAAAATGATACCTTCCAAAGTATTTGCCAACAATTTATTGTTAATTGTGAAGTTGTGTCCGACCCATTGCGACCCCATGGACAATGTTCCTCCAGGGCTTCCTGTCCTCTACCATCCTCTGGAGTCCGTTTAAGCTCACGCAAACTGCTTCAGTGTGTCAAGTTTCGAGGTCGTCTCAAATAAATTGCACTTCAAACAAAGTCTTTGAAGAAAAACTCCTATTGATTAAGCACGGCATTCTAAACCCGACTCCATCGAAGCCAACACTGACTTCCAGCCCCAAAACCCTCCCTTTCCGTTCCCCACTCCCCTGCACTCATTGGCCATCTTCCAAGTCATTTTACCCCTAATCTACTCCAGCTCAAAGGAATTTCCCCCCTCCCATCCCATCTCCTAGGGGATATTATCTCCAGGGAAAATAAGTAGGTGAAAAGTCAAACGTCCCTTTCCAGACACCTTCGCTTCTCCTTCTTATGTCAGCACTAGAGTAAATGCAGCTTGAAGTGCTGACACAGTGACTCCATCCAGCCACCTCGTTGTCTGTCGTCCCCTTCTTCTTTTGCCCTCCATCTTTCCCAGCATTAGGCTCTTCTCCAGTGAGTCCTTCCTTCTCAGTAGGTGGCCAAAGTATTTGAGTTTCATCTTCAGGATCTGGCCTTCTAAAGAGCAGTCAGGGTTGATCTCCTCTAGGACTGACCGGTTTGATCGCCTTGCAGGCCAAGGGACTCGCAGGAGTCTTCTCCAGCACCATCCTTCAAAGGCCTCAATTCTTTGGCACTCAGCCTTTCTTATGGTCCAACTTTCACAGCCATACATTGCAACTGGGAAAACCATAGCTTTGACTACATGCATTTTTGTTGGCAGGGTGATGTATGCTGTCTAGCTTTGCCATGGCTTTCCTCCCCAGGATCAAGCGTCTTTTAATTTCTTGGCTGCAGTCCCCATCTGCAGTGATCTTGGAGCCCAGGAAAATAAAATCTGTCACTACCTCCATTTCTTTCCCCATCTATTTGCCAGGAATTGAGAGAGCCGGATGCCATGATCTTACTTTTCTTAATGTTTTGCCAACAATAGCAATAGCATCTAGACTTAATGCAAGTAGTCCTCGACTTACAACAGTTTGTTAAAAAAAAGTCTACAGAGATTCTCAGTCATCCAGCTCATGGATATCTGAAAAGTGCTTTTTCAGGAGGCCAACTGGGCTTTCTTGTTTTTTTTTCTTTTGAAGACGTTTTGCTTCTCATTCAAGAAGCTTCTTCCGTCTTCCTCTATCCTGTCAGAGCTGAAGAAGCTTCTTGGATGAGAAGCGAAATGTCTTCAAAAGAAAAAAAACAAGAAAGTCCAACTGCCTCTTGGAAAAAAAAAACACCTTTGGGACAGCAGTTTGTTTAGTGACCGTTCAAAGTTAAAAAAAGCGACTTATGGCCGTTTTTCACAGTTACGACCTTCGCAGCATCCCCTTCTTGATCGTGGGATCAAGATTCAGGTGCTTGGCAACTGTTTCACATTTATGACCGTTGCTGTGTCCCAGGGTTATGTGATCCCCTTTCGCGAACCTTTTGACGAGCAAAGTCGACGGGGAAGCCAAATTCACTCCACAACCAGGCTACTAATTTATTGACTGCAGTGCTTCATTTAAGAACTGAGGCAAGAAAGGTCATAAAATGGGGCAAAACTCACTTAACAAATGGAGGAAGGAAGAGAAGGGGAGGAGAAAAGGAAAGGTTGTGGTAAAATAAATAATAATAATAATAATAAGTTAATAATAATAATAAATAATAAATAAATAAATAAATAATAATAAAAATGCTGAGTACAGCAAAAACCACTGGGAACATCAGATTGAGAAAGTTTTAGAGAATGAGAAACTCAAGATCTTGTGGGACTTTAGGATTCAGACTGACAGGCACTTGGTCCACAACACACCTGACATAACAATAGTTGAAAAGAAAAAAGTATGGTTCATTGACATTGCAATACCTGGTGATGCACGAATTGAAGATAAGCAGCAAGAAAAAATCACAAAGTACCGGGACTTACAAATTGAAGTTGAGCGACTGTGGAAAAAGAAATTGTGTGTTGTCCCAATTGTAATTGGAGCCCTTGGAGCAATACCCAAAGGGCTACCCCGCTATTTAGAAATTCTAAAATTGCCGGACTTGAACATTTTGATTCTACAAAAAACCACCTTACTCGGAACAGCTTACATCCTCCGACGATACCTTAACAGTTCCTAGGTCCTTGGTTAGGACTCGAGCTGCTGAGCTATTAACCAGCCTCAAAGGCTGTGAATCTCACTAAAGATTAACATAATAATAATAATAATAATAATAATAATAATAATAATAATAATAATAATAATAATAATTTTATTTCTATACCGCCCTTCTCCCGAAGGACTCAGGGCGGTGTACAGCCAATTTAAAAACACAAAACACAACAATGATTAAAAATTAAAATAATAATTAAATAGATAAATTAAAAAATAAAGGAGGGTAAATGGTAAAAGAGCATCCCCGAACAACTAAAAATGAAAGTTAAAAGATAAGATGAATGGAAAATGATGGATAAAAGATTGTACATTTAAATATGTTTATGAGAAATAAAAACTCTTTGAAAAAGAAAAACTCATTTAACAACAGAAATTTGGGGCTCCGTTGTCGTCGTAAGTCGAGGACTACCTGTATACCGCTTCACAGTGCTTTGCAGCCCTCTCTAAGCGGTTTACAGAGACAGAATATTGCCCCCAACCATCTGGGTCCTCATTTTACCCACCTCGAAAGGATGGAAGGCTGAGTCAACCTTGAGCAGGTGAGGATCGAACCGCTGGCAGTCAGCAGAATTACGGAGGCTCCCCACCCCATCTCCTCACCTATTTCACAGTTTTCGCCTGTGAATCCTGGCAGACAGTGGCAGCTGGAAAGGTTTCCACTCGACTGGCAGGTGCCCCCGTGCAAACACGGATCGTTATCGCAAGGGTCAGTTTCGGCTGCAAAAAAGAAACGAGGAGATGAGGAGAGAGGGACATGTGTTTCATGCCCACGGCATGAAACCTACGACATGTGTTTCATGCCCACCGCAGGACTATAATTCAGTCTCCTGATGACTGGCCAAAAGTCACCCAGCCGGTTTTCATTTTATTATTTACTAGCTGGATACCTGTGCTTCGCTACGAAACTATGTAATCAGGCTTGATAAATCGACACTTATAGCTTGAAAATTAATGAGTAGTTATGATTGGCCTCTCTTCTCCCCTTCTCTCCCTCAGCCTTGCCCTACAGAAACATCTCCTATCCTATCCTCTTCTCTCCCTCAGGCTTGCTGTACAGAGGCCTCTCCTGTCCTATCCCCTTCTCTCGCTCAGCCTTGCCCCACAGAAGCCTCTCCTATCCTATCCCCTGTTGCTGCTGTGAAAGTAAAACTGAAAGTGAAACTCCTCTCCTCTGCTTGTGTTTTGTATTTGGAACAGATTTCTTTTCAGGTGGGGAGGGGCATAGAACTCCTTAGCATCAGAGGGCTGTTTGTAAAGTGAAACAATATTTGCTGTGTGAGCAAGAAGGAGATAGGAAGGAGCCTGGCCGTGGCTTAGCTCAAGTGTTCTGTATTAAAGATGCTTCCTGCTGTGAAAGTAAAACTGAAGGTGAAACTCTTCTCCTCTGCATCATCCCTGTGAGGTGGGTTGGATGGAGAGAGGGTGATTGGCCCAAAAGCTGGCTATCATAGCTAAAGCTGGGCTTGAACTCACTTCATGTCCAAGGCGGGACTAGAACCCACACTCTCCTGGTTTCTAAACTGATGCCTTAACCTCTAGACCAGACTGGCTCTCTGTATTTACTGATTTGCATTGTACAGGTAGTCCTCAACTTACAACCACAATTGAGCCCAAAATTTCTGTTAAGTGAGACATTTATTAAGTGAGCTTTGCCCCATCTTACGACCTCTCTTTACACCATTGTTAAGTGAATCACTGCAGTTGATAAGTTGGTAGCCCGGTTGTTAAGGGAATCTGGCTTGCCCCATTGGCTTTGCTGATCAGAAGGTCACAAAAGGGGATCATGTGACCTTGGGACACAGCAACGGTCATAAATATGAACCAGTTGCCAAGCATCTGAATCTTGATCACATGATCATGGGGATGCTGCGAAGGTCGTAACTGTGGAAAATGGTCCTACGTCCTTTTTTTCAGTGCAGTTGTAACTTTGAACAGTCACTAAATGAACTGTTGTAAATTGAGGACTACCTGTATTCCTTAATTTGGCTAGTGAATTGTAGGGAGCAGCCAGGGGTGGGATTCAGCCAGGTTGGACCGGTTTGGGCAAACCGGATGCTAATTTTACATCTGGTTCGCCGAACCGGTAGTTGCAAAGACTGGCTGGCCTCGCCCACCCCACCCCCTCCCCTCCTGGGAGTCTCCATGCGGCCCGTTTTGGATGCCAGGTAGTGCAGCGTCCACATGGAGGCTCTGGGAGGGCGAAAAACAGGCCTCCCAGAAGTTCCAGAAGTCCGAAAATGGGTTGTTTCTGGCCTCCAGTGCCGTGGAAGGCCGTTTTTGCTCAAGGAAAGCCTCCGGAGCCTGGGGAGGATGAAAACGCTCCTCTCTCCCCCCTGCCATGGTACACGAGGTCGAGTAGGCCATGCCCCCATGACCACGCCCACCCAGCAACCAGGCAGAGAACTGGTTGCAAAAATTTTTCAATCCCACCCCTGGGAGCAGCTATGCTAGGAGGCCAAATGAAGGAGATGCTTCAGGAGATGGGCCGAGGCTGGCGTTGAATTGCACTCAGTTGCTTGTTTCCCTCTTGCCTGCTTGACATAGAATAACTATTCCAGCCCTCTGACCCAGATTGGCACCTCTCTGCCCCCCTCCTTTATTGGATTCCCATTATATCTAGGCAAGCACTTTGCTCTGATGAGTGACATTGCGGCTGAGTGGGTTGATTTGCCCTGCCTCAATTGGCCCTCTCTTGCTCAAAGGCCTTTTTTGATTTTTTGCAAATGCTGGTGGAGCAAACAACGCGAGCTCAAGTGTTCTGCTGTATGTGCCAGTGTGTGCCTTCTTTGCCTCAATGAAAAGCACAACATTGCTTCCACCATGTCAAGTGGCCTTTCACAAACACACTTTCCACCGCAAGTTTCTAGCCTTGTGCCTTAACCACTGGATCCAACTGGCTGTGTAGTATCTTCTTTCAGCATCGCACACAGTTGTGGAAATCCAGTGGGAAAAAAAATCCTTTTAGTTAAAGTCTTCCAGGCAGGGGCTCGATGGGGCTACGTCTGCCCTGATTCACATTTTGCCCTGAATCCCTCCAGAGTTGTACAACTTCTGGGTAGAATCTGTGTCGTAATTCCTGATGCACCAGCAAGAGGCAGGTTATTCAGGGTTGGGGAGATCATTTTATGCAGATTCAAAGGTGCTTTACTATTTTCCTGAAGCAGGTCATTCCATCCTAACAATCTAGGGCAGACAGGAGCATTTTACAGATCGTGGGCCACAACCCACAGGCTGTTCCTATCGCTGCCTGTGGCAGCGTCGGTGTCGGCAGAATGGCAGAGTTGGCAGGCGGTGGAGTGGTGTCATCAAGGGTGGGGGGGCAGCTCTCCACACACTCCCAGTTTCTCATGTGGCCCATTGAGGATATTAATTGCTCACCCCCAATCTAGGGAGTAAAGCATAAATTCTTACTTTTGCAATGCAGTCTTAACGTTCCTATCGAAGTTAAGTATGTAATCATTGCTCTCATGACACACATGCATTTTGCAATACAGGTAGTCCTTGACTTACAACAGTTTTTTTAGTGACCACTCGACAGCACTGAAAAAAATGGACTGATGACCATGAATGACTTATGACCGTTTTCCACACTTACGACCACTGCAGCGTCCCCAAAGTCACGTGATCAAAATCCAGACGCTCGGCAACTGACCCGTATTTATAACGACTGGGGTCTTCCTACAAGCCAAGTCAATGGGGAAGCCAGATTCGCTTTACAAACCAGGTTACTAACTTAACAACTGGTGTGATTCACTTAACCACCGTGGCAAGAAAGATCGTAAAATGGGACAAAACTCACTTCATAAATGCCTCACATAGCAATAGAAATCTTGGGCTCAATCGTGGTCGTAAGTCAAGGACTACCGGGACTCCCAGCTCTGTGGTCCAAAGGAAGAAATACAGGGGAATTTCGGGGTCTCTGGGGGGGTAAGGAAACTGTGGGGAAGCATTTTGTATATTTAGCTGGGGGGTGGGGCAGCGGTGAAACGCAGCCGGATCTATCTGGCTCGTGTGAGGCGGTAGAGCTGGCAGTGGAAGGCTCCGCCCACCCGCCGGGACATCATCACCAGTGGTGGGTTGCCTCCGGTTCACAAGAACCGGTAATAAAACTGGCGGGAGGCTCCGCCCACCGACCCGGATGTCATCAGGAAATTTCTGTGCATGCACAGAAGTGTGTGCGTGAGCAAAATGAGCGAACGCGTGCAGTCCCATTGCAAACTGGTAGTAAAGATAAATAGAACCCACCCCTGGTCATCACGACCCGTTTTTGACCCTCTGCGCATGTGCAGAAGAGGCACGCGCACTCACATTTCCGATCCAGTAGCGAAGGTAAGTGCATTTTACCCCTGGGGTGGGGGAATCTATGGAGTCGTGTTAGGCGTCTGGGCTGCGTGAGGAGGACATGCTCTGCTTTGTAACCACATTAGGAACAAGAGAACAAATCCAGTTAATCAATACCCCGAATGTATTTTCCGCAAAAGTGCATTACAACGAGCTTTGCAAAATACAAGTTAGAGCCTTTAGGATGGTTGTGTCAAAAGCCCCGTTTCGAATCGTCATGAGTGACAGTCCCAAGGGTTTAGCTGTTCGAAGCCTTTGTAGTTAGAGGGGGGAAAAAAAGTGACATCCAAAAAATGCTTTTGGGGGAACAGGATTCAGTTAGCTGCAATTGTTGCTTGACACAGTGGGGAGCCTTGAATAGCGCAGCCCTTCCAAGCGAAGCACACATTATGCCAACTGCCAATTTTTTCTCTCCTCTCCGGCTCTGGAAAGGAAGGGAAGTCCCCCTGTTCCTTCCTGCAGCTGGAGAAGACGTTGCAACTCAACTTGCAACCATTCGTTTGGTCGCTGTTCAGGGTTACAACAGCACCGAAAAAAGTGATTTATGACCTCTACTCACAGTTACTACCATTGCAGCAACTCCATGGTCACATGTTCAAAATTGAGGACTCTTAGCAACCATGCGGTTGCTCAGTGGCAAAGTCGCTGAGCTTGTCGATCGAAAGGTCAGCAGTTCAGCGGTTCAAATCCCTAGTGCCGCGTAACGGGGTGAGCTCCCGTTACTTGTCCCAGCTTCTGCCAACCTAGCAGTTCGAAAGCACGTAAAAAATGCAAGTAGAAAAATAGGGACCACCTTTGGTGGGAAGGTAACAGCGTTCTGTGCGCCTTTGGTGTTTAGTCATGCTGGCCACATGACCATGGAAACATCTTTGGACAGCGCTGGCTCTTCGGCTTTGAAACGGAGATGAGCACTGCCCCCTAGACGGAAACGACTAGCATATAGGTGCGAGGGGAGCCTTTACCTTTACCTAGCAACCATGTATTTTCGATAGTTGCAGCATCCGGGGGTCACATGATCACATTTTACAATGGTTTTGCCAAAAACTGGCGTTTACTTCCATTTTTTTTGGCAGAACTGTACTCATAGCGAATCATTGGTTCACTTAACAATCGCAGTGTTCACTTAACAACGACAGCTGCTTTACTATCGTAGTGGCTGCTTAATAACTGCGTGAAAACGGTTGTAAATTTTACAACCATCAGGACTTACGGCTGTGATGGACAGGCTCCGTTACAGTCAACAGTCGAGGAATTTAGTCTTTGGAACTCTTGTTCAAAAGGATCACATAACAGGGATCAGAAAAGACCCCTGCTTGCCTAAGATCAGAGCGTGGTAAGTTGTATCTGTGATCTATCTACTAGGATCACCAGGTATCTCAAGGGCAGGACATTAGTTTTGCATGCTAATCAGTTCCATCCTGAACCTCACCAATTTAAAATAACAGAAACAATCCAAGACCATTCTCGTAAAAGTACCTCCGTTCCTGAATTCAGGTATTCTCCTGACCTTGGGTGGGCCTTCAACTTCCAGAATCTCAGTAGCTAGCTAGCATGGTTGTGGCTGGGATTTTTGTGAGTTGAAGTCTATTCATTTTTTTCTCACCTCAAGCACAAAGTCCAGAAGTGGTTTCCAAGTGAAGTAAAAACAAAGTTACTGTATTTTTCGGACTATAAAATGTACCTGACTACAAGACACATCTAAATTTAGAAGAGGAAAACAACAAAAAAAAGATTTTGGCTTCCCTTTTTTCGGCCCTTTTTTTTTTCCGGACTGTTTTTGGGGCTTTTTTCAGCCCATTTTTTCCAAAAAAAATGGGCTGAAAAAAGTCCCAAAACAGGCCGGAAAAAAGCCCCAAAAACGGGCCCCAAAAAGCCTAGAAAATCGCCCAAAAAGCCTAGAAAACACCCCCCAAAAAAACCTCGAAAATGGGCCAAAAAACCCATCGAAAATGGGTCAAAAACAGGCCTAAAAAAGGCCCCAAAACGGGCATGTGGAGGCCAAAAAACGGCCGGCAGGTGGGCAGGGCTTTGGCAATATTCTGCCTATAAGACGCACAGACATTTTCACCCCCTTTTGGGAGACAAAAAAGTGTGTCTTATAGTCCAAAAAATACAGTAACTATACTCTTTTCTTTGATTAGGGCAATCAATTTAGTCATCTCTGTTAATTCAAAAAAATGAAACTTTGACTTTGAATGAAACCCTTCCTATGGCTACGTAAGGATGGGGATCTCCTAAGAACTTGTATACCCGAAGGAGCAGAGCTGATGTATGTCTGGTGGCCTATCTGTCTTCACATCACATCTTCTTCCCACCCCACAAAGAGGCTGTACAAAGGGGGTGGGATTCTTACCAAGCAAGGTGTCATTCATCTCCTGGGCCCACACCAGACGGGGGATTCCTTTGAGTGCTGGTGCATCTTCTTTCTCTTCTCCGCTCCCACTGTCGCTCTCCATTGGGAGAAAGTCTCCAGGGACAGAGGGGATGTACCCTTCCTGGTCCATCTTGGCTTCCACCTCTCTCTCGGTGGGATAGATGGAAGGTAGTGAGCTTGGAACCACAAGCGAGTTGTCAAAGGCAGCTGGCTGAGGTATGTGTATAAACTCTGAGGTGCCGTGGAGTATGAATGGAGTCCTCACCTCAGGCAAACTCACGGCTGTGGTCTCCTCTCCATCCTTGGCCTCATCTGGAAGGGATTGAGCAGAAGAAAAGAAGACGGTGTGATTGTGAGCAGGAGGTCCTGCAGTGGCACCATCTGGCCAATGGTAGTCACCATTGTCTTCCTCCGAGCTTTCGTGGTGACTTTGCTCGATCGTGCTGGATTCAAGGTGGCTCTCCCTGCTTTGAGTAGCCTGTTCCCAGCTACCTTGTGCCTCAGAAAGATCTAGGACTTCAGTGAAAGTGGAACCATCTGGAGGCCCCAGGATTGCTTTGTTTGTTCTGGTGGTCTCCATACTATCTTGATTGTCGTGGTCCACCAACCATGCCTCAGTTTTCTCAGGGAGGAATTGAGCTTCCTGCAAATACACATTTCCTGGTGTTGGGGTGATGATGTCTTTTGGGGAGAGTGTCACAGCTTCTTGTCCCCTCAGTTCAGACGCTTCTTCTGAACGTTGGCTGCCCTGTTTCAAGACGGCGTCTTTCCCCGCAATATTGAGGAGGCTCATTGTTTCCTCTTGGTTAACAAAATGCAGAGTTTCTGGCTCCGTTTCTCCTTCGGCATCCTCTGGAAAGTTTTGGTGGCCCTCAAAAACAGGTCCTGGAAGCTCTTCGCCAAAGCTCATGGTTTTGACGTGGCTTTCTCGGGAGCTGTAATCGTATTCTCCACTTGACTCATCAATGTGTGGCTTGTTCCTCCGGTGGTCAGAGGACAGAAGGGATTCTGCTGGAGTAACCACCTGTCCATGGCCAGAAAAGTCATCTTCACGGTCTCCAGCTTGGGTCATCCCTTGAAGATAGTCGCTTCGCATGCTGGTCCCCACAGAAGCAACTTCAGGATCGTATCCTGTAGTCACAGCAATTTTCTGCAGATCAAGTAGAACATTAGCCGAGACCGGCAATGATATGGGAACGTACTCATTGTATACGTCCTTCTCCTGGTTTCTTGGCCCAGAAATGGTCCAATATCCTTGCTTGGTTCTTTCAGTGCTTGCGTTTTCCAAAGAATGAGGTGTTGATGCAGGAGAAAATGTGGTTTCCTTGGCGCCTCGATTCTCAAGTAACGGTAACCCTGTGGAGATATGCACAAGATTAAAACATATGCATATATTAGGAGTGTACAGTGCTTCCAATTTAATTCTCAAAAATGTTTCAGAACATGCAGGGGTGTGAATACAGCATCTGTCGCTAACTTCTTAAAGTAGCCCTGTCTTTTCCTGGAATCACACACCCAGGACAGCTTCAAATCTTAGGACAAGATGCAGCTGCTTTAAAGAGTTGCAGACAGATGTTGGGTTCATATCCCCATTTATAGACCCTTTGCATCCTGGACATAAATTGTTTCAACTCCTACCCTCAAAACGATGCTATAGAACATTGCACACCAAAACAACTAGACACAAAAACAGTTTTTTCACGAACGCCATCGCTCTGCTAAACAAATAATTCCCTCAACACTGTCAAACTATTCACTAAGGCTGCATTACTATTACTATTCGTCTTCTCATCGTACCTATCACCCATCTCCTCCCACTTATGACTGCAACTTTGTTGCTTGTATTCTTATGATTTATACTGATTGTTTCCTAGTATGATTTGATTGCTTATTTGTACTCTATGACTATCTTTAAGTGTTGTACCTTATGATTCTTGATGAATGTATCTTTTCTTTTTATGTACACTGAGAGCATATGCACCAAAGACAAATTCCTTGTGTGTCCAATCACACTTGGCCAATAAAGAATTATGTTCTGTTCTGTTCTATTCTACTGTGTTTCCCTGAAAATAAGACCCTGTCTTATATTTTTTTGAACCCTGAAATAAACACTTGTCCTTATTGCCATGCGCTCAAAAGCCCAATTGGGCTTATTATCAGGGGATGACTTATTTTGAGGGAAACAGGGTATTCTATTCTATTCTATTCTATTCTATTCTATTCTATTCTATTCTATTCTATTCTATCCTATCCTATCCTATCCTAAAGCAAAGTTTGAAACAGAATCCAAAGTATTGCATATCCGTGATACACACAAGTGGGCTCCTATCCAGTAAAAAAAACACAGTGAAACCTCATTTTAATGTACAGGTAATCCTCGTTTAGTGACCATAATTGGAATTAGCAAACCTGGCCATTAAACAAAACGGCTGCAACTGTGCTTACCATCTTACTTCAGCCTTGCTTTGCTCCGTAAATCTGCAAAGATCATTAAATGTATGGATTGATCATAAAGTTACTGTCAACCCTGAAGCGAACCTGGCTGGAGCGATCTTTTGCTGCTTCATGGTTGCCACAAGGCAGAAAGGAGAAAGGGAGGGGTGGGGGGAAGTAGATAGCCTGGCTTGGCAGTCAAAACAAAAAGTTTCCTGTGGGAACCAAGGTCATTTCAACAGGTGGCTGAGAGAGGAGGAGTGGTGGAGTAACCAAGTGACCAGCCAGCACCTCATTGGACCATGTGACTGATGACCTGGGGAAGGGGGGGAACTTTCACTTTTTAATTAGGTGAAAAACCGCGGGAACTTTTAGAGTAGGTTTTCACCAGTTGTGCTGATATGATGTATTCAATGAACCTGTTCTTTGAGGAATCTACCTGCCTCGGAGTTCTACTTTCAATGGGTGCATTACTTGGAATGTTGACAGTTACATTTTCATCACCATCATAACTGTTAATGGTCAGTAAATGAGGCAGTTACAAAATGAGGACTAAGGGTACAGTAAGGGTGAGGGGATATGATATCTCTAACTTGTAGGGCACGGTGGCCTAGCGGTTAAGATGCTGTTTTTGTCAACTGGAAGGTTGGCAGTTCAAGACCCAAGTACCGTGTGATGGAGTGAGCTTCCGTTATTTGCCCCAGCTCCTACCATCCTAGCAAAAGCATGTAAACGCAAGTAGATAAATGGGTACCATTTCAGTAGAAAGATAACAGTGTTCTGTATGCACCTGTTGGCCACATGACCAAAGAAGCATCTTCGGACAATGCTGATTCTTCAGCTGTGAATCAGAGATGAGCACAAACACACACACACATACAGAGTCGGACACAACTGGGCAGGGGAAACCTTTATCTTTTTATCACTTAGAAAGGTCCATGAAATTGAAGCGAAGGGCACCATGGTATTTTCATCATATAACAGTGCTCTCATCATGCAAATAAAATAGACCATGTAGAAATTTACTCCATGGTATGCAAAGTTCATTGCTGGCTCAGGAATTCTGGGAGCTGAAGTCCACACGTCATAAATTTGCCATAGTTACCCACTATGATTGTGATGAACTTGACTTAAAGTCTGTTGAATCAAGATTTCAGACTCTATGCCACCTTCTATTAAAGTTTCTTCCCTTCCCCACTTGCTCACTCTCCCATGGCCAGCCCATCTGTCTGGGTGTTAATAACTACAGGAAATTGGCACCTCTCCATCTGGGCCTCCGAAAGTGCCTGCGTGGAAGGGCTGCATATCATAGGCATTTGGCAACAGTTACAATGCCAAGGAGCATGTGGGAATGGTTTCTGTGGCAACTGCCTCCTTATTAGCTGCATCGCCTAGCAGCTATGGTCCTTTGAGCTAATGGGGTTCAGCAGGGGGATTCCTAAATTTCTAAGGTTCTTAATCTCCCTGGGAGGGTTTGAGTCTGGGGTTGAGAGTGGGGGGAGAGAAGGAGGGCCAGGATAAGCAGAGCAAGATGAAGAGTCTGTAGGAACACGCTTGAATGTTGTGGAGTTTGTAGCGATGAGAGAGAGAGAGAGAGAGAGAGAAAGAGAAAGAAAGAAAGAAAAGAAAGAAAGAGAAAGAAAAAGAGAGAGAGAGAAAGGAAGGAAGGAAGGAAGGGAGGACAGATTCTATAGCAATTAAAGAATTGGCTTTCAGTATTTATATATCTACCTATTAATTGCTCTCTAATTTCTTCTCTGTACGTGTCTGTGTCTATGTCTATGATAGGTTTGCCTAGCTATTTACTTCTCTATGGTTGTCTACCTCTCATGCTTCTTTCCTTTCCTTTCCTTTCCTTTCCTTTCCTTTCCTTTCCTTTCCTTTCCTTTCCTTTTTTCTCTTTTCTTTTCCTCTCCTCTACATCCTTCCTTCCTTCCTTCCTTCCTTCCTTCCTTCCTTCCTTCCTTCCTTCCTTCCTTCCTTCCTTCCTTCCTCTCCCTTTTCCTCCCTTTCTCTCACTCCCATGAACAATGTATTCCCCTCAGTCCAGAATACTTAGTCAGTTTCAGCACATGCTTTTTGTTTAAAATTCAGAAAGATTCTGGTCAAGACTCTGTCTGTCTACAAGACAAAACAGCCCGACTTTTTTTTGGCAGGATTACTGGATGGGTCTTTTGTTAAGAGAAGCCCATGTCAGAGCACAGCGAGGAGGGCTTTTTCTACAGAAGGATCGTGACTCTGAAATGCCTTCCAAATGTGTCAAGATATCAAAGCTGTGCCTTTTTATACACCAGCATGAAAAGCATCTGTGCGCGTTAATCATTGGCTTTTCCTACGTTCCAGCAAGCAAAAATTTGTCTTTATCCTTTTAATTTAGGGATTTATACTTTATTATTTCATACCGTTTGTGGCACCTGATCCCTGTATACTATTTTGAGCGCCCACTGGAATGAGGGATGAAGCATTAATGGCCATAAATATATCACTTTTTCCAGGGGCCGTAAGAATGCAAAAAAATATAGCCAGATTAATTAAAAAAAACCCAATTATGATTCCATCTGGTTCTTTTTCCAAAATGCCCACAACAGGGCATGGTTGTCTGTCCAAGTTCCTGAACGGGATAACTCAAAATATTTGGACATTCACACTGTCAGTGTTTATTTAAAACAACAACAACAGAAATCTCCCCAAGGACACTATTAACAGGATCAAGAGAACTCGAAGATTTGCAGAGAGATAAATCTCTTAGGATGGTCAAACTGCCTTCTAGGTTTGTACAGATAAAACCTCGATTTAAAACCATTCATTTAGTGACCATTAAAGTTACAACAGCATTGAAAAAAGTGACATGACCGTTTTCCCACACTTACGACCGTTACAGCATCTCTGTGGGTCACATGATCAAAATTCGGATGCTTGGCAACTGACTCGTATTTATGACGGTTGTTCCTGGGGTCATGTCAGTGGTGGGTTGCTACAGGTTCTCCCCAGTTCTTGCGAACTGGTAGTGGAAATTTTGAGTCGTTCGGAGAACTGGTAAATACCACCTCTGCCTGGCTCCGCCCCCAATCAATTCGCTGCCTCCCGAGTCCCAGCTGATTGGCTTGAAGGAAAAAGATCAGGGCTCACTTGACAAAGAAGAGAGAAAAAAAAACAAGACACCGTAGCTTTAAATTGAGAAGCCAAGAAGCCTCCCAACTGATTGGCTAGAACCGATCCGCTCCTTGTAAACCGCTCGGTGGTGGTAGATTGGCAATTGAGGCCAAGCTGCCTGAAAGCGGTTTCCGATGCTCTCGGTGGTGGCAGAGCGGCAAAAAACTGTTCAAACTCTTGCCGCGGCGCTTCAAAGGGCCGCCCTACAGCTGATCAGCGGTAAAAGGCAGTGTGCTGGTAGACTGGAATGCTCCAAAAACAAATGGGTGGACCGGTACGGCTCTGCAAGCAGTTAAAAGCCTGGTAGACCAGTACCTCTGCTAAATCCTAAAGAATTGTTTGTCACATGACCATCAAACCACACCCACAAAATAAGCCATGCCCACAGAACCGGTAGTAAAAAAATTTAGAATCCACCCCTGGGTCATGTGGTTATCTTTTGAAACCTTCTGACAAAGATGGGGAAGCCAGGTTCACTTAACTGTGTTACTAATTTAACAATTGCAGTGGTTCACTTAACAACTGTGGCAGGGAACGTCGTAAAATGGAGCAAAACTCACAACCATGGTCTCACTTAGCAACAGAAATTTTTGGGCTCCATTGTGGTCGTAAGTCAAGGACTCCATGTAGAGGTGAAATTTGGCTGAATGGAAGGCTCCCTGGACCCTTTTCCAAGAATCCAACTTAAAGCCATCCATCTTGACGTGCGTGTGATAAACCTAATATTCTTATTGGGGTTATCAAGATATCAGCTCCAGGTTTTGATGGAAGGGAATCGAAAGCAAGAAAGCTGAAGAGAAGCACAAGTAGTTCTCAACTCACAACCTTAATGGAGCCCGCCCATTACAGTTATAAAGTCGTACAGGTCGTAAAACAGATCAGTCATGTAATCAGCTCAATTTCATCTGTTTTGCAGCGGTCGTTAAGCGAATGCCACGGTTTGCTACAACAGGGATTTGTTGAAAACTCGTAGGTATTTTCAACATGTAGATGTTCAGCAAAAACATCGTAAATCATGGTCATGTGAACATAGGATGCTGCAAATGGACGTAAATGCAGCTGAGGGCCATAATGCGGCCACATGACTGGGGGAGGACCATTGGTACTTTGGCTCCAGGTCATAAGTCCTCTTTCTAAGGTAGGTCATAATTTCGAATAGTTGCTAAGTGACTGATCCTAAGGGGAGGACTACATGTATACCAAAGCAGGTTAACTTTTCAGAATTCAGTTTTTTCTACCCTGATTTCTGGTCCTTTTCTCCCTCCCTTCCCCTGCCAGCTCTGGCAGCTGCCATCCCACAGCTCAGCGTTGTACCAGATGCTTATTCTTAATTTGAGCATCGGCAAACGATTCACCCAACCCTCTGTGCAGCCGTAAGTGTCAAAATTATGCACACTTGCAAAATAACTCTGTCTTCAGAGACTCCGCTCTCTCTCCTCCCTCTCTTAATTGGTGCTAACACTTTTCAGCCGAAAATTATGCCTGAGTGCATTACATCAGGTTGCAAACATGTGCTAATTGGCACCAATGGCTACTTAAAGCTCTTTCAGGAGACAGAGTTTTAAAGCCAGATTTTTGGAGCAGAGGGAAAGAGAGTTTTAAAAAATCCACACAAAATCAGCAGCCCAAAGGCAGAGTGGGTCTGAAATTGGAAGGCTAAGAGAATTCCATCTGATCCCTTAAACATAAACACAGAGATCTTCCTAATATATATATATATATATCTCCCATAATATATATTATAGATGCTACTAATTACATTAATAGGATTAATAAGAGTGATTCTGGGTAGCTTGATATAGGAAATAGGACAGCAGAAACCTATTTTCTATATCAAGCTACTCAGAATCGCTCGCTAGTGAGATGGGCGGCATATAAATTTAATAAATAAATAGCAATAGCACTTAAGTCTTCTCTCAAAGGGGATTTTTCAAAAGGCAACTGGACCATCCTTCCTTGAGAAAGAAGACATTTCACTTCTCGTCCAAGAAGCTTCATTAGTTAGTTTCTTTCTTTCTTTCTTTCTTTCTTTCTTTCTTTCTTTCTTTCTTTCTTTCTTTCTTTCTTTCTTTCTTTCTTTCTTTCTTTCTTGGTTCAATTTATATGCCGCCCTTCTCCGGAGACTCAGGGCAGTTTACAATGCGTTAAGCAATAGCCTTCATACTTTTGTATATACCTGCTTAGTAGGGCTTTCACGCCCCCTAAGCGGTGTTCTTTTTTATACAAAGTCAGCTTATTGCCCCCACAATCCGGGTCCTCATTTTACCCACCTCGGAAGGATGGGAGGCTGAGTCAACCATGAGCCTGGTGAGATTTGAACTCGCAGTAATTGCAGGCAGCTGGCATCTAAGTGCTACTTAACAGTGCTTTAGTCCGCTGCTCCACCAAGGCTCCTCGGTGGAGCAGCGTTCATGGATGAGAAGTGAAACATCTTGCTCAAGGAAAAACATAGTCCAGTTGCCTTTTGAAAAAGCACCTTTGAGACAATCATGACATGGATGGATGACTGAGAATCTCCACAGACACGTAGATTTATATATCGCTTCACAGCCGTCTCTAAGTGGTTTACAGAGTGAGCATATTGCCCCCCCCCCGGCAACCATCTGGGTCTTCATTTTACCGACCTCGGAAGGATGGAAGGTGGAGTCAACCTTGAGCCAGTCAGGATCGAGCTTCTGACAGTGGGCAGAGTCAGCCTGCAATATTGCATTCTAACCACTGTGCCACCACAGCTTATGTTAAATCAGGGGTGTCAAACTCAATTTCATTGAGGGTCGCATCAGGGCTGTGGTTGACCTCGGGGGGGCCGGGGGGGCACAGCCAACTGGATGGGTGTGGCCAGTTTGATGCCACTCCCCAAACTGCTGACATGTTTCCTCTTTGCATCGGGTAGACCGGGCCGAAGCCACAGTGACCTAATGTTTCCTCTTCACATTGGGTAGACCGGGCCGAAGCGATGCGGGCTGGCCTCTTCCATTTTTTAGGATGGCCCCACGGGCTGGATCCAACCATATCCAGCCCACAAGCCTTGTGTTTGACATCCTCGTGTTAAATATTAAGGCTGCACAACTGATAGAGGAGATTGCTTGAAAATCTTCTCAACAACCTCGTGAGGTAGAGCAGGCGAGAGATAAGATTTGCAGAGCTTCAGGGCCAAATGGGGATTTGAACCCAGCCAAATCAGGAAAGCAGTGATTATTTCAGAGAGGGCTCTGTGGGGTAAAACTCTGAACACGGCTATCCCAGATTGCGTCAGAGTTTTCTGCAACAGGGACTAATGTAAGCAATTCATTAGCATATGGAGAGTGAGTCAATTCTTCCACACCTACCCTGGCACTCCCCATGTGTTCTCTTAACTTTAGCAATTAATGTATATGAAAAATGTTATATAAAAAAGAAAATTCTGCTCCTTTTATTCCCTCTCTTTTTAAATTAGATTTGGTGGCCACGGGCAATGAATGCTATGAAGAAGTAAACAAGCTGCCATTCCCTTATTACCTGGAGATGAGGTAAGACATAAAACTGAAATGTAGTGTTTGATCAAAATGCATACAGGTAGTCCTCACCTTACGACCACAAGGGAGACCAAAATTTGTCGTTAAGTGAGAAATTTGTTAAGCGAGTTCGCTCCATTTTGCAACTTTTCCTGCCACGTTTGTTAAGTGAATTACTGCTGTTCTTAAATTAATAATGCAGTTATTTAAGTGAGTCTGGTTTCCTTCACTGACTTTGCTTGTCAGAAGGTTGCCAAAGGGGATCACATGACTCTAGGACACTGTGACCGTCATAAATGTGAGTCGGTTGTCAAGCATCCGAATGTAAATCACGTGACCATGGGGATGCTGCAACGGTCATAAGTGTGAAAAATATATGTCACTTTTTTCAATGCTGTTGTAACTTTGAACGGTCACTAAATGAACTGTTGTAAATTGAGGACTACCTGTACTTAACCAATATACTGTACCCCTTCTGTGGCTACAACCAGTATTATAGGTAATCCTTGACTTATAGCCCATTCATTTAGTGAGCATTTGAAGTTACAACGGCACTGGAAAAAAATGATTTATGACCAGTCCTCACACTTAAGACTGTTACAGGATACCCATAGCCACGTGATTGTGATTTGGGCACTTGGCATGCAGCTCACACTTACAATCGTTGCACTATCCTGAAATCATGTGACCACCATGACCACACTGAGTGCTTCAGTACCAGAGACAAATTCCTCGTATGTCCAGTGTTGGGATTCAGCCGGTTCGCACCTATTCGGGAGAACCAGTTATTAACTTTCTAAGCAGTTCAGAGAACTGGTTGTTGGAAGAAATCTTATTTTGTTTTTTTTCCACTTTACAGGGCTAATCCTGTAAGGAAGGCAGGAAGGAAACATTCTGGTGATGTTTCTAGCCTAATCTTTATTGCCCTGCTTACAGAAACTGCCTCCCTGGTTAACCCTTGTTACATTGTAACAGCTAAGGCGAAGCGCCCATCAACGTAAGTGATGTTGAGTTGGCCACACCCACACGGTCACATGACCACCGAGTCACGCCTACCCAGCTGGTCATTAGGGCAGAGAACCGGTTGTTAAATTATTTGAATCCCACCACTGCGTATGTCTAATTGCACTCGGTGAAATAAAGTATTCAATTCCGTTCAAGTTCACCATTTGTGACCTCTCAACCGGCTTCTGACAGGCAAAGTCAATGGGGAAGCTAGCAGGGAAGGTCACAAGTTATGGTCCAGCAATGACCATGGCAAAAAAAAAGTTCATAAAATGAGGTTGGTTTACACGATACCTCACTTAACATCCACACCGCTTAATAATGAATGTTCTGATCCCAATTGGGGTTATAAGTCGAGGACTTCCTGTCGGGTACCAAGTCTAGCTATTGTAATACTGTCCCGCAATAATTCTGATTTGGTATCCCTTCACAGTACTGTGGGGATATGAACAGCAATAGCAATAGCACTCACTTATATACCGCTTCACAGTGCTTTACAGCTCTCTCTAAGCAGTTTACAGAGTCAGCATATTTCCCCCAACAATTTGGGTCCTCATTTTACCCACCTCGGAAGGATGGAAGGCTGAGTCAACCTTGAACTGGTGAGAATCGAACTCCTGGCACTAGGCAGTGACTCAGTCCGCAATACCGCATTCTAACTGCTGCGCCACCACAGCTCTGGAAATGGGATCTAAGCCCAGCCACTCCCATTAGAAAAGATCCTTCTTCTTAAGGTGCTTCCACAATTTACAGGCTCCCTACGCTCAATGGAAGGATGTTTCCAGCAGAAACCAAATTCCAAATCAACTTACTGTTTCCGTCAACTTCGTTGGACAGCGAGTAGCTTATATCTCCCTCAAGAGGAGAGGCAGGGCTTGGGACCATACCAGCTGAAGTCTCAATGGCATTGTCTACCATTTCGCGCCCTGCCAAGGCCAAGACGGTCAACGTAGTGGGTAGCATGGTGCTACCCTCTGGGTTCCCATCGACAGCCAGCTCGTCTTTCCATTGTTCCTGGAAGTACTGCCCGTTCAGTCCCGTGTAAAGGCTCTGATTCGATTCAGGGTTGCCAGCCAAAGCTGGTGTTGCCCCAGTGGCAGCGAGGTGGCCTTTTGGAGAAGTGGGGGAAGGAATTAGGAAAGGAATTGTTGGATCCTCCTTTCGGATTTGAACTTGAGATGGTTGTGGAGAAGCAGTATCCTGCGGGAATAAACCCTCCGTGTTTCCCTGCAACCAGGTCGGAGTGACCAGATGAGGAACTGCTTCTGGTGAGATGCCATCTTCAGCGTCTCCCTCCAAAGACATCTTGCCCAACATTGAAACCACACTCAGTGACTCCTCAGTGACGTTCACCTTATCAGCATCATCAACTACAGCGAAGAGTTTGCCGTCGTGAAGAACATCTACAGAGGGTTCTGTGGAAGCCCCTCGAACTTCTCCATTTAGAAAAGAGATGTTGGGTATCATGGACCTCTCTTCCACGCTTTCTCTTCCAACTGGGAAAGCCGTTACCATCTGGAGCTGCTCGTCTTCTTCCAGTAATGGCACTGCCACTTTGTGTAAGGGGCCGTAAAGATCCTTGGCTGATTCTTTGGAATCTGCTGACATGATCGCTTCCTCGTTTTCCCTGGGGAATAGCTCATTCTGGCTCAAATAGGACAGGTCAGAATCGTGCTCCACCAAGATGTTCTCCATTCCTGATTCGTGGCTTCCCTCTGAATATTGGTCCATGGGCTGATGGACAGTTTCTTCTACAAAAGGTGCCCAGTCTGGTATCTTGGCCAACTGATGCCCTGCAAAGGGATACAAAAGAGAATTGTGGATTCAGGAAAAACTCAACCCCTAAGGGAAAGCCTTTTCTGAACAGATGCTTTCCAAATTGACAGAAAAACTCTAGAAAAAGTGCAGAGAAGAGCCACAAAGGTGATTAGGGGACTGGAGGCTAAAACAACATATGAGGAACAGTTGCTGGAAATGGGCAGGTCTAGTTTAATTAAAAGAAGGACTAGGGGTGACACAGAATAGAGTAGAGTAGAGTAGAGTAGAGTAGAGTAGAGTAGAGTAGAGTAGAGTAGAGTAGAGTAGAGTAGAGTAGAATAGAATAGAATAGAATAGAATAGAATAGAATAGAATAGAATAGAATAGAATAGAATAGAATAACAGAGTAGGAAGGGACCTTGGAGGTCTTCTAGTCCAGCCCCCTGCTTAGGCAGGAAACCCTACACCACTTCAGACAAATGGTTATCCAACATCTTCTTAAAAACTTCCACTGTTGGAGCATTCACAACTTCTGCAGGCAAGTTGTTCCACTTATTAATTGTTCTAACTGTCAGGAAATTTCTCCTTAGTTCTTTTTTTTTTTCATTAAAAAACCCACGTTTGAAATTTAATTCTCTGAACCAAACCAAGCACAGATGTATCTGCACACAAACACACACACACACACACACACACACACACAGAGCCCCACAACTGGCACATGGGGAGGTCTCTGCCGTTGCCTCCGCTCTGCCTGGCTGTCCTTAGTTCTAAGTTGCTTCTCTCCTTGATTAGTTTCCACCCATTGCTTCTTGTCCTGCCCTCAGGTGCTTTGGAGAATAGCTTGACTCCCTCTTCTTTGTGGCAGCCCCTGAGATATTGGAAGACTGCTATCGTGTCTCCCCTAGTCCTTCTTTTCATCAAACTAGACATCCCCAGTTCCTGCAACCGTTCTTCATATGTTTTAGCCTCCAGTCCCCTAATCATCTTTGATACACATGATAACAGTGTTCCAGTTGCCACAAAGAAGAGGGAGTCAAGCTATTCTCTAAAGCCCCTGAAGGCAGAACAAGAAGCAATGGGTGGAAACTAATCAAGGAGAGAACCAGCCTAGAACTGAGGAGAAATTCCTTGTCAGTGAGAACAATTAACCAGTAGAATGGCTTGTCTCCAAAAATTGTGGGTGCTCCATCACCAGAGGTTTTCAAGAAGACATTGGACAACGATTTGTTTGAAATAGTGCAGTGTTTCCTGCTTGAGCAGGGGGTTGGACTAGAAGACCTCTAAGTTCCCTTCCAACTCTGTTATTCTGTTCACTGTGCCGGATTTCAACTCCCAGAACCTTTAGTCATGGCCGCCCTGACTGAGGTATTCTGGGGATTGAAGACCAGCCCACCTGAGGTAGAGAATTGGCAAGGGCTGTTCTAGAAAAATTAAAAGAGAGAAAAGATAGATTAAAAAAACAAATCAGCCAGCGAGGCATGCAAAGATTGGATAGAAAGCATTTATATTCAAAATAGGAAAGGGGGAGAAGGGAGGGGAGAAACATTCACTCGTGCAGCTCAGACAGATGCGTCCAGGCAATGCCTCCGGCATACTAATAGGCATTCCCTGGAGCACAGAGTGTGGGTGTGCATGTGTGAGCATTAAGAGTGAGCACAGAGAAGGCTGGCGTGGAAATATAATTAACTTAGAAACGATCTTCATTATTATTCCAGTCTATCTTGGACAAGCTGTCCCAGGAATCTTGGTCCCTTATATGTCGAAAGCACAACTTTGAAGTTGAATCAGGACAGGTGGTCCTCGACTTATGATGGTCACCTAGCTACGGCTTCAACTTATGGCAGAGCTTCCCAGGGCTTCTTACAACCCAGATTCAACATTTTGAGCACTTGGCAACCAGCCTGCATTTATGGCGGTTTGCAGTGCCCCACGTTCATGTGACTGATTTACGTTTTTCGCCAGAAAATTGGCATTCTTGTTTCCGCTCCCCACCCCCCAAAAAAAGAGAGAAGAGAAAACTCATCATTTAGTGACCATTCGAAATTACAACAATACAAAAGAATAGTGAATTATGACCATTTTTCACAGTTTAGAAAAATGGTCATGTGATCAAAATTCAGGCACTTGGCAACTGACTCATATTTATGACTGTTTGCAGGTGCATCATATGATTCACCTGTTATGACTTTTTCTTCAAGCAAAGTCAATGGGGAAACCGGATTTACTTAACAACCGTGTTACTAATGTAACAACTGCAGTGATTCACTTAGCAACTGTGGCAAGAAAGGTCGTAAAATGGGGCAAAACTTTCTTAACAACTGTGTTGCCTAGTGACAGAAATTTTGGGCTCAACATTTCGGGACTATCTGTATAGCCCTTAAAGAGGTAGTCCTCAACCTTATGACCACAACTGAGCCCAAAATGTATGTTGTTAAGTGAGACATTTGTTAAGTGAGTTTTGCCCCATTTTACGACATTTCTTGCCCAAGTTGTTAAGTGAATCACTGCAGTTGATAAGTTAGTAACCAGGTTGTTACGTGAATTTGGTTTCCCCATTGACTTTGCTTATCAGAAGGTCGCAAAAGAGGGAATCACATGATCCTGGATCGCTGCAGCCGTCGTAAGTATGAACCAGTTGGCAAGCATCTGAATTTTGATCATATGACGATGAGGATGCTTCAAAGGTCGTAACTGTGAAAAATGATCGCAAGCCAATTTTTTTCAGTGCCATTGTAACTTCGAACGGTCACTAAATGAACTGTTGTAAGTCGAGGACTCCCTGTATTCTTCTCCCACCATTATTTTACCATCCTTTTGAGCTCAAAGAGACGGTGAAGAGAATGGTTAAATGTACTCCAATAGGTGAACTCAGGGGTGGGCTTCAAAAATTTTAGCAAGAGGTTCTCTGCCCGGTTGCTGGGTGCGTGGCCATGGTGGGCATGGCCTAGTCTGCCTCCTGCACCACGGCAGGGGAGTGTTTTTGCCCTCCCCAGGCTCCGGAGGCTTTTGTCAAGCCTCCGGGAGGGCGAAAACGGCCTTCCCAGGCTCCGGAGGCCCTCTGGAGGCCAGAAACGGGCCCGTTTCCAGCCTTCCCGAACTTCCACTATGCCCGTTTTTCACTCTCCCTGAGCCTCCACACCAGTGGTGGGTTGCCTCCGGTTCAGACGGTAGTAAACCGGCGGGAGGCTCCGCCCACTGACCCAGACATCATCATAGGTGATCTGTGCATGCATGCGATGCAAACCGGTAGTAAAGGTAGGTAGAACCCACCCCTGCTCTGCGCACATCCTGCACTTACCTGCATGCAAAACAGGCTGTGTGGGGACTCCTGGGAGGGGAGAGGTAGGGTGGGCGTGGTCAGCCAGGAATGGGATTTTGGGGTTCTCCAAACTGCACAGAATCTTAGCTAGAGGTTCTCCCGAACCATGGGTGAAATGCTCCCGATTCAGACTGGATCACCCGATCCGGTAGCGATGGTGGCGGGTAGTTCGGAGAACCAGTAGCAAAAATCCCTGCCCTCCCCATGCTCAGCTGAGCCACGCGATCATCAGAGGCTTTAAAAAAAAAAAAAGCCTCTGATGATCGTGCGGCTCAGCTGGGATTGTCAGAGCCCTTTAAAAGCATTTTTTAGAATGCTTTTTGTAGAAAAAATGCTTTTAAAAGTTAAAAAAAAAAAAGTTGGCCACGCCCACCCAGTCACATTACCCCCCCCCAAGCCACCCCCACAGAACCGGTAGTAACAAATTTTACATATCACCACTGTCCCGAACCCCTGCGAACCTCCAGCAGCCCACCCCTTTGTGAACTCCACAATGCCTCGGTTTGTATGACATATTAAGCAGGCGTGTTAAACAACCCCATCTGGACCAACATGCTAAGCTTGATGAGTTTCAACCGAGCCTGCTGGTTAGTTTATGCTTCAATGTATACATGAGCCGAGAAAATGAGAATGCAGTAACTAACTTAAACATATTCAGTGAGCACAGTTGGGGATAGAAAACAGTCCAAAGTGGATGACACACTTCAATGGGTCTTTATCGGGAGGATTAGCATATTGGGGTTCTGCAGGGGGTTGATTTAGCTTCAAACAGACCCTGGGATGCTGCAATCGTCATAAATACATGCATGTTTTTTTTTTACCAAGAGTCCAAAATTATCATGTGGCCTTAGGGATGCTGCGATGTTGTAAATGCAAGAGCCGGTTATAAGTCACTTTTTTCAGGGCCACTGGAACTTAGAATGGTCACAAAATAAATAGTTGTTAGTCAAGAACTATCTGTATTATTTCTATGGCTGTGGGCTTTTTGCAGAACACAGAATAACAGAGTTGGAAGGGACCTTAGAGGTCTTCTAGTCCAACCCTCTTCTCAAGCAAGAAACTCTATACCGTTTCAAGCAAACGAGTATCCAATCTCTTTTTAAAAACCTCCAGTGATGGAGCACACACAACGTCTGGAGGCATGTTGTTCCACTGGTTAATTGTTCTGTCAGGAAATTTCTCCTTAGTTCTAGGTTGCTTCTCTCCTTGATTAGTTTCCATCCATTGCTTCTTGTCCTGCCCTCAGGTGCTTTGGAGAATAGTTTGACTCCCTCTTCTTTGTGGCAACCCCTGGGATATTGGAAGACTGCTGTCATGTCTCCCCTAGTCCTTCTTTTCATTAAACTAGACATACCCAGTTCCTGCAACCGTTCTTCATATATTTTAGCCTCCAGTCCCCTAATTATCTTTGATACACATGATAAAAGAGTGTTCCAGTTGCCACAAAGAAGAGTGTTAATGGTTGCCACAAAGAAGAGGGAGTCAAGCTCTTCTCCAAAGCACCTGAAGGCAGAACAAGAAGGAATGGGTGGAAACTAATCAAGGAGAGAAGCGACTTAGAACTAAGGAGAAATTTCCTGAGTTAGAACAACTAATAAGTGGAACATCTTGCCTGCAGAAGTTGTGAATGCTCCAACACTGGAAGTTTTTAGGAAGATGTTGGATAACCATTTGTCTGAAGTGGTGTAGGGTTTCTGCCTAAGCAGGGGGTTG